TGAAGAATCTTTTTCTGGATTTGATGTTTTAATAATGAAGTTGCCTAGTTTTGGAAGTTTTTTTTCCCTTTCTTCTGCCTGTTCTTTCTTTTCTTGTCTCTGAGTTCCATTCTTTGTTTGTTTGATTATTCTTCTTATATAATAGTTTATCAATTGCTATAATTATTTCAATATTTTTTGCCTTCAAAATTTATTTTCCAACCAACAACCAATAAAACAGTTCTTAAGAATTTGGTAAATGCAACATACAGACTACTACAGAACATGGGCATTGAATAAGGGAAAAAGAGAATAAAATGCAGGTGATGGAGAAAGGAGACTCCTGGTGGCTATCACAGGTTAGCATGAATTATCTCCACTCTGCCATCAGTTCACTGCAATAAAAATAACTTTGACATGCCCACACAAGGGCTGAAAGTACATAGGTGATACACTACAGATGATTTTTAAAAATATTTCTTTTAATACATAATGAACAGTTTTATCTTACAAAAGTTTAGTGTGTTTTCAGACTAAACATATAAGTTTAAAGCATAGTTACATATAAGTTAATAATTTATTATTATTAAAATCAAATTTATATTAAAAATAAACTTAAAACATAAAAATAAAACTAAAAAATTAAGTAAAATTAGGTTAAAATTTTAGGTTCATAATTTCAGAAGTGTAATGCTGGTTATCAGCATATATAATTTATTTTACATTAATTGTTTACTTGCTGGAAAGAAGTGTAGCTTAGTGGGCGTCCTTAGTTTGCCAAACGTTATTGTCAAACCTTTTTTCACTATCACTAGAGATTTTATCACTCTAGACTTTGTTAGTTGTGATTCGGTTGGTGATTAGATGTGGGATGGATAGATATATATGTACATTAATGTGGATCAGTGCTGTTGATAGGTAAATGCAAATGATTTGCCATCATCAGGCCATGTTGGTGAGACTTTCAGTATGAAACAATATGTTTGTCTTCCTGTGTCACGTAGGTTCTGTTCCAGTTATCATTTTTAGATCACCTTGTCCAGCAGTGCAAGCTTCAGATGCAATGAAGGTGCTATAATATTAAGTTCTGCTGCATTAATATTGCTGACCACTTGCTTGGTGAGCTTATCTGCTTTTTTTGTTTTCTTGTAGCCCTGCATATGCTTTTACACAAGTAAGATCTATGTACGCACAAATATTATGAAATAAAAATCATTGTATTTCTATATTTAGGAAGAGATGTGATTATAGCTCAGAATTGCAAGTAATGTCAAAATACTGTCAAATACAGTTCATTGAAGTGGCTGGTGACACAGCACAGGGACACCAGGTGGCTAACATTGCTAAACAGATATCCAGCACTATCTTTAGAGCTGGCATCTCCCTCAAGGCCATAAAATGTTTTATCAAGAGTTCATTTAAAATGTATTTAGTTACATTGCCAAACAAGAGCTGTAGATTCAATTAAATCTGGTATTTGAGAACAAACAAGTAGGTACAGTGTTTCTATAATAAAAGAACAAAATGTAACAAAATTTCAAAACTATCTACAAGCAAAACCAGTGATCAGAAAATTGTGAAATTTTGTGGCAAACTTAATGAAGGGATGGGTACTTTGAAACTTTGAAAATCTGTAACAAAAATGTAAATCTCTGTCAACGTAGTGCAGCAGCTGTTATAAACTTAGAAAAATTTATGGAGACTTTGTTTGCAATGTGTTTGTTGCTCACAATGATGAAAGCTCACAAGAACATGCTTTGTTAGTTAAACTGTTTGAAAGACATTCTCATTCCTCCATTTAAGTCAGCCACAAAATTTAACAATTTTCTGATTAGTGGTTTTTGCTTGTTGTAATCAGTTTTGAAATAGGGTTCTGTAATTATAGACATCCTGTATATTAGGTATTGCTAGGCCTTTTTAACTGCTAAGTTTCTCAATCAGAAAAAAAAAAAAAAAAAAAAAAAAAAAAAAAAAAAAAAAAAAAAAAAAAAAAAAAAATATTGATAGAATATCATGAGATGCAATCAGAGAGTCTCTCATTCCTCTTCCCTTACCACCCACCTCTCAAGAGGATTTTGGTTTGCCACATCATTTGAGTGCTTCTTTGCTGCACAGACACTGTACACTTACAAACATCCATCCCTTCTCTAGGACTTGAACATGGCTAATATACACTCATGTCCATAAATTAAAGATAATTTAGAGTCAAGCGGAAATCGAACTCTAAAATAAATATATCACCTGTAAAATCACTACACATATCTTCAAGAATCATATGCAAATTTCAGGAAGTAACCAGATGACACCGATGGTACATCACAATGACCAGAGTGTAAGAGAGTGATATATAAGGAATACAGGCGAAGAAGTAAAATTGTTCGCAAGGGCATTATAAGCATTTCAGTGCAATAACCAAATAGTTATGACACAAAGGACGCATTTGGATTATTTTTTACGTGGTAGAATTATCGGCCGTCTGGAATGTGGGCGTACCCAACTGGAAGTATCAGACGAACTTGGAATTGCTCAGCGTGTCATCTCCAGACTTTGGCAACAATTCCAAGATGATGGTAATGTAAGTAGACGTTACAGCACAGGTCACCCCAGAGTTACAATGCCAAATGAGGAATGGTACTTGACACTTACTGCCTAAAGAAACAGGCGGAGCACACCCTCAGACCTGTCTCGTCAGCTCTCTTCAGCCACTGGTACGACAATTTCAAGGCAGACCGTGTACAGATGCTTAGGGCAGATTGGCGTCTATATGCTCGTAGCCTGTCAGATGCATTCAACTTACTGCAACTCACTGTCGCCTGCAGTTAGCCTGGAGTAGAGAGCATGCATTGTGGACACCGCAACAGTGGTCTTGTGTGACATTTTCCGACGAGTCCAGGTTTAGCCTGCAGTCTGATTCTCGCCGGACTTTCATATGGAGAGCTCCAGGTACCCGTTACCACCAAGAAAACATCATTGAATGACACTGTTACAGTGGTGCAGGAGTGCTCATTTGGGGTGGAATTATTCTGGGTTCCAGAACTGACCTGCATGTTCAAATTGGAACAATGACAAGCCAAATATATCGGAACGTCACTCTGGAACAACATGTACCTTTGTTTCGGGGCACCATGGGTGCACAATTTGTGTTTATGGATGACAACGTCCGTCCTCACCGTGCAAACATCGTAAGCGAATGCCTTCAATCGGAGGATATCACCCGTATGGACTGGCCAGCATTCTCACCGGACTTGAATCCATTAGAGCACGTGCAGGACATGCTTGGCCGATGAGTTGCAGCCCGTCAATCTCCTCCTACATGTCTACCGGAACTTGGGAAAGCATTGCTTTTTGAGTGGTGTAATTAATATCCCTCAAGGTCAGATCGATAATTTGATACTCAGCATGCCTATGCGTTGTACGGACGGTATAGCATCGTCTGGGAGACATACTATGTATTAACAATCATACCAACCATGTAATATTAGTTTTTTGTAAAAAGATGGATTTTTATTTATTATTATTATTATTATTATTATTATTATTATTATTATTATTTTTTTTTTTTTTGTTTGTTTTTTTTGTTGTTTTGTTTTGTTTTGTAATTTGCTCCAGGGAGAAAAAATTGCTAAATTTGTAAGGATCTTAAGTTTTACTAACGTTTATTTTATTTTAAATCTTTACTATCACTTCTTATTTTCTACTTCCGGCCAGAATTATAAGCGTGAAGGAGTTTATGCAAAGTTGTCTGGCGAACGCCAAGTATTTAAGTGTGGCCTTTTTGCCAAGAGAGAGAGAGGAAGCAGTGAGTTCGAAGCAGGCCGCTTACCTTAGAAGTTACGCAGTTGCTATTTGCCTTCCAGGCCAGAGGTTTTAATCCTCTTGATAAATTAAACGTATTGTAGTGTTCACAGTCTCTGTGCTACATACGCTTCCTGTTATTATAAGGCCAAATCTTATTCTAAAGTTAAATTAGAGTTTAGTTTATTTGATATCTTTTAAGTTAGACCCCGAGTGGAGGGTCATTGTATTCCGAAGTACGGAAGTCATTGTATATAAAGAAAAATAAAGGGTCTTGTATACCCTTCGTCTGTATCCTGTCTACTTACTACAATTAGTGAACATAGCTTTAGTAAGCTCTCTGTTCCTAGTCAGGTCATTGTATGTTTCCGAAGAAGGTTAGAAGAAACATTGAACCTGATAAATTTTTTAATAATTTCAAACATATAGCATCTTTTTTTGCTCTTTACCTTTTGTTTAATAAATAAGCTTTACAAATAAGTCAAATTTGTTTTGCTTCTAACTCTTCCTTTGCCTGATTTTGCATTTTCCTTAATTTATGGACATGAGTGTATTAGAAGTATAATTCTTCAGTGATTATTAAAAAAACATGCATACCACATGCATATTTCAGATCATTATATACTGATCTAACTAGGCCTTCAATCCTCCAATAGAGTAACAAAGGAAAAAGATAAATATATGACTTTGAAAAATGCAAATATTCCTTATTGCTTGAAAACTCTTTAACTCAGAAATTTCAAGTAAAATAACATTAAGACAGAAAGTTCTGAGCTGAAAGGTTAGATTTAAATTATAAATGTAGTTTAATAATAAAATAATAAATTATAATAATAAAAAATAATATACAATAAAATATAGTAATAAAATCTATAATAATAAAATTTTCCTTAATGTAAATTTTTTCATGTAAAACCAATTTTATGAAAGCGAATGCATTGTAAATCTATATGTATATATTTTTATTTGCAGAAAATATTAATTTTTTTCACAAAAGAAATAAAATATGCATTCAGTAATATTAATTTTAAAAAACGAACAGCAGCATTAACTTGATTGTTTTATTTGCAAAGAAAGACACTCATTTTAAAAAGCACTGACAGCCTAACTAGAAATTAGAAAAACTTCTAATTATAAAATAGCACTACAGAAAGCAACATGACAATTAAATATTAAAGCAAATTAATTTTTTATAAAAGCCAAAAAATAAAATTAAAAACACAAACTTCATGTTTTCTGTCTGATGATTCTTGATCACAGTCTCTTTTGCCTGATGGTTTTGAAGACAATTCAGAATCAGGATGAAAAGTTTGCTTATTCTTTATAAAAGAATGTAAGAAAAAATATATAAAGAAGGCAGCATATAAATACTGAATGACAATAATACTTCGCAATGCAGGAAAAGGTTTCTTATCAGCACAAGTTTAATTAAGTATTTCAAATAGTAAAATTACTTTGAAAAATATTATTTATTTTTTCTTTTAATAGCATACCTGGTACTTTGTTTTTTTATCTGCAAAATTTGATCCCAAGAAAAATTCTAAATTTCTATTTAACTCCACACTAGCTGCATTGTCATTTTGGTATCCAGCAAGGCTTCCAGAAAACTAAATATATTAAAGGGATTTTAGATAACAAGAAAATTTAAAAACAAACACACACACACATATATATGATAAATCACACTTAGAAGTAATGACTAGCAGAAATTTTGATGGCATAGAAGCGTTGATGCATAATGAATAGGAAATTGGAAGTGAAGGCAGATTAAGATTAAATCTTCATTTTTTATTTCAGCAAACATATTGTGGCCACAATCAAGTTGGCACATTAATTGTGCCTGTTACAAGAGGTTTTACATTCCTGATAATTTTGCAGCAAGAAGGAAGCACCAAACAGACAGCAGTGAAACTAGGCCAAAGCATTGAAAGCAAGTGTATTATGTTCAAGGTGAAATCTTAATTCAGACTTAGTTTTGGTTCTCAATGCATTTTGATTGGATAGTTGATATTGCTGTAAAATTACTATTTGTTGCTTGAGTTTTAGTTCTATTTACATCACCAGAATTATCTAAGAGTCATATGACATGGTTTGGTTTGGTTTACTTAATTATGGCAAAGCATACTAGGGCTATCTGCCTAAGGCGTGGGATGCCTTCGTGGAGGACTTTCTATGGGAAATAGGCTCCTATACACGTTATATATGGGGAAAACCACGAAAACATCCATGCAGCCAACCTGTTCGCCATATTACATGGATTAATCTAGAAATGAAGTAGTGCAGAGAGGGATTACTATTTTTAGAATTGAGAAGAGAAATTTATGTTGCTAATTTAATCTCTTACATATTCTTTATTTTTCTTACATATTCTTTATTTTTTAATATATATGCATATATATTTGTGTGTGTTTTAAAATAATATTATAGATTTATATATAAAGAAATATATAAATAGGCTAAAATTTTGAATTAAAAAATTAAAACAAAGATTTTTTTAAACCTGTCCTGCGCTATAGCTGCAAGACTGAAGTAGAATAAACTTAAAGCATCTAAATGAATTAGTAAATTGGAATAAAAGCAAGGCAATTCCTCTATAATACAGTCAAAAGTTGTTAATTCGGAATGATCTATAATCCGGACATCAAAACTAAAAACTTTCTGCGCATGCGCCGCGTTGACACATGCGCATAGGCGTTTACGCGTGCGCCTAAGACCTTTTACGACTGCGCATATCAGTGTGCGCAAGTGCAGAATACGTTTTCTCGTGCGCGTTTTATGTATAATGGACATATAAGCAAAAATTATCTAATTATCTATTTCAGTTAATGTTGATGATTGCGTTGTTCCTTAATTTTCGAAATGCATCCGGCTTATTATTTTTTGCAGACTGTAAGAGCAATTTTATAAAAGTAAGCTTAAACTTTCGATTATATCAAATAGAATTTCCGATATATATTTGTTAGTATGTAAAGGATCTAAAGCGAAAGTATGTTTTGAAATCCGAAATCTGTTTATCAATTTCACGTTGCTCGGGCGGCGGGCGCCTAATGAATTGGAAGTTGATTTGTCAGCACTATCCTTATCTTCAGCGCAGATGTTTTTATTTTATTTGGCTTATAATTCCTTACCAAACGTAGTATTTCATCTCGATATGCTCCGTCTTTGATATGATTTAAAACAAGTTCCTCGTTATTACAATTCGCTTCCGATAGCGAAGAAAAGTGACAGAGGTTATTGAAAACAAAAAAATTTCGATTGACAAATTAGTCGGTGTTCTTGACACAGCAATTATAGGACTTGAACGGCGGAGCTTTGTAACTGAACAAGAAATTATGTCTGTTTAATAGAATTAAATAGAAAGTATTATCACATGAAATGAAGCAAAACTTAAACAACTTACATTGAAAGAAATGTTTAATAAAGTAAACAAATAAATATTAAGCTTTTTCTTTTTGCAAATTTTGATACCCTTTAGATCATAATTGTTCTTTATTTCATAAATTACGGTTTCACATTTTTAATTTTAGAATTTCTGCATGCCATCTTACGAGATTTAAACTGATGATCTATAATCCGGAAAAATCGATAATCCGGAATCGCCGAAGTCCCGACGAGTCCGGATTAACGACTTTTGACTGTATAATAATTGCAACGTGTATAATAGGTTTAACACAATATCAAAAACTAATCCAGTTAAAGAGAGAATTCATAGTAGAACAATCTCGAAAAATAAAATTACGAAAGGGAAAATAAACAAATAAAAATTAATCTCCTTTTACTGAAACTCATTATCCTTTATTGAATATACACTGGTGTGCAAAAATTAAGGACGAAGTCGAAAAATTAGCATATCAGCTGAACGAAGAGGCAGAGCGGACAGAAAGACCAATCAGGAGATTAAGTAAGGTGATGTTCGGTAGCACATGCGCAGATATGCAGGTAGACATAATGGGGGAGTGTCTGAGTAGTATAAAAAGCATGTTGTCGGTGTAAGATCAGTATTTCTGGCAAAGAGATTGCACGCCGTATAGCAGTTAAAATCACACCGAGTTGCTGCCTCAGCGAGAAATGGCGAATAATCAATCTGTTAGACGACATCTGGATGCTTTTCCCCGAGGTCGAATCATTGGGAAGTTGGAGAAAGGCCGCAGTGTGACAAGTGTGGCTGCAGAGTTCGGAATTGCTCACAGCATCGTTTCACGACTTTGGAGACAATTTCAAACTACAGGAACAGCTATCTGGGGGTTTAGTAGTGGTCGTCCATGAGGAACCACACCCGCAGATGACGGGTATATTGCCTTACAGGCCAGAAGAAACAGGCGGCAGACAGCAGGAGAAATCGCTAGACACACGACACAGGTGACTGGACGACCAATATCGTGTTTTACCGTGACCAGAAGATAGCACGGTGGTGGTCTGTTTGCACGACGCCCTGTACCTCTAACCTCTAACGCCTGCCCATCGGAGAAGGCGTTCTCTGTGGTGCTGGGAACACCGGAATTGGAGAGACAATGAATAAGGACAAGTACTCTTTACAGATGAGAGCAGGTTCAGTCTGAGTAGCGATTCTCATCGCATACTCATCTGGAGAGAGCGGGGAAGCCGCAATCATCCCTTGAACGTCATTGAAAGGGACAGATATGGAGGTGGCGGTGTTCTCGTTTGGGGAGGCATCATGCTTGGTAGTCAGTCGTACAGATCTTCACATCTCCGATGCAGGTTCAGTCAACGGGACCCGTTATTGTAACGACATTCTTCTTCCATATGTGCGTCTCTTTAGAGGCGCTATGGGTCCGCAGTTCCTTTTTATGGACGACAATGCACCATGTCATCGCACAGTAGCTGCCGAACAGCTCTTAGAGAGTGAGGATATTGAACGTATGGATTGGCCGGCACGATCTCCGGATCTCAATCCCATCGAGCATGTATGGGATTTTCTAGGCAGACGCTTGGCAGCTCGTACCTTACCACCAGTAACGATTCCGGAGCTTCGATTGCCACTGAAGACGAATGGGCAGCAATGCCTCAACAACTCATTGACACCCTCATTCTCAGCATGGGCAGACGCTGTGAAACCTGCCTAGCAGTCAGGGGAGATCATATTCCCTATTAAAGACCGGATGTTTTTTGCTGGACACCCATCACAGGGATGTTTTGGCCTTCAGTCGCATTGCGCTCCATGCTACTTTTTCAATAAAGCTTCTTTTTATCCCTCTGATTTCTCTTTTAGTAAGTGTTGCTTACATTACTCATGTCCTTATGTATTGGAGATCTTACGCTATTAAATGTGTTGATTTGGAAAGCTTTTGTACAAAGTTATATTGAAAAAACCGTCTCGTCCTTAATTTTTGCACACCAGTGTATATAGAGAGGTTTAACACAATATCAAAAACAATAATATATAATAGGTTTAACACAATATCAAAAACTAATCCAGTTAAAGAGAAAATTCATAGTAGAACAATCTCGAAAAATAAAATTGCGAAAGGGAAAATATACAAATAAAAATTAATCTCCTTTTACTGAAACTCATTATCCTTTATTGAATATATAGAGAGAGCGAGATAGATAGACAGACAAATAGATATATACATTAAAAAAATTATGGTGAGTGATATAATGATATATTTTTATAGTAAGAACATAATTTCCAGTATTAAGATAAAAAAATAAGTTGTTCTATATCACTTTTATTGATTATCATTGCAACATTATGTATCAACATTAAAATACAAATACTTTATTTTAAACACAAGAATGTTCATAGAAAATAACTAAATACCGACCTATTATTTTCTTTTCTCAACAAGAACATTCACAGCTAAGACAAGAGCCATGCAAGAACTATGTCGTTTGAAAAATTTTAATAAAGATTCTGTCGATAAGGCTTTAGTGCGTAGGTACCCACTCGATCACACTATCATATCAGTAATCATCCTCTTATTTTATTAAAAGTCTAAAGAAGCTTACCTCTTTTGGTCCCACTTTGCCTTTCCAATTAAGAAGCATATTTTTGTATTGTATTAATGAAAATTCCTTTCTCATCATCACATTCCAAGACTGAATAGAATTCATGAAAATCTCAGTCCAAGTAACAAGAGATAAAGTTTCCTAAAAAAATATGTCTATAGTGGTCCCTTCAAACACTCAGTCACAATTTGCAAAATTTTCAACAAAAAAACATAACATGTGAATATGAACATAACATGAAACATTTATGAAACATAACATGTCATTCATAAAAAACTATGGAATGCAATTCATAAGCCTCAAGGTCATGTAAAAATAAAACACTTTGTTTCTAAAAATATATTTGTTTTTTAGAAGGATTCCCAAGTTGATGTTTGATGACCCTGTATTTTTAAGTCAAAAGAACTGAATACTTGGAAATTTTTTCTTCTTCGAAAAAAGGAATTGGTATATTAATTTTCAACTATTATTTTAAAGTATATATGACCTTTTATAAAATTAAATTACTAATACCATCTTTACATTTTCTATCTTTGATTTCATAAAATCATTTTAAGCTTCAATGGGAACAGAAGAATTCTTCAAATATTCAGCTTCTGTTTACAGCATTATTGGGACTGAAATTTTTAATGAAATTAAGTTGCAGGTGCAAAACTTCAAATATAACCTCATATCTACAATCAATGCATCTAAGTATGCTAATAATATTCACATCTTATAGCCTAATCAGGACACTCTGGAAGACTAGGTTACATTAGATGATAATCTTGATAAAGAATCAGAAAAAATAAATTAAAAGCTTTATGGAAGGGCAAAATTGTGATTCTCTTTCATAAAGCTTCTTATTTATTTTGATCTGATTTTTGTATCAAAATCAACATCTAAGGCAACCACCATCTAATCAATATTTTTTGCAAGTATTAAAAAAATTATAGGTGCATACAGTAAAAAGACAACCCTGGAAAACCTTGGAAGAAGCCAAATGCTACAAACACAAACAATTTTGAAGGCTTTGAGTTGAGAAAAATCAAAGGCAATTGCCAGGAATTATAACACAGTGCAAAGTCTGAAATCCTGGCGTCCAATATCTAGACCTCCAGACACCAGCCAAAATGCGGAGGGCATTTATACCTTTTGTAAAGATTCTGGAATCCTTTAGTTAATCTTTGAAATGTAAAGAGCATTTTCTTAAATGTTCTACCTGTAAGCCTTTTTTTTAACCATAAGTCTGCATTATAATTTTCATCATAAAAAGGATTTTATAAAATTTTCAGGGATAGCAATTTCCATTCCTCCTCCACCACTTTCCAGAGCCCATCAATCACAGTGGGTTTGCACTTTTTTCAAGAGACTAAAAACACAATAGCTCACAGGTCAAATATCAGGGGACTTTGCAGGAATGTGTTGAAAAGACACATATAAAATGCATGTATCAGCCTTCATTTTTTCAAGGAAAGTAGTGCACTTTTCAAAGTACAACTTTTTGTTTTGTCTTGATGAAATTTTACTTTTTTAAAGTCACTGGGATAAAGAAATGGAATCTATTCTTTAAATATTAGACTTAAAAACCTTCTCTTGATAGTACGTTAAGTTGATCTTAACATTTGTTTCCATTCTAAGGACCCTGTGACAACCATAAACCCCTTACCGAAACTTTCTTTGCAACGACGGAAAAATGTTTATACATTTTTTTTTCTCTTTGTTTTCAATAATAAACAAACCTTTTTTTTTTTTTTTTTTTTTTTTTTTTTTTTTTTTTTTTTTGTTGTTGTTGCAGCCATTTAGGTAAATCTATGTTTCTTCCAATGTCACAATTTATTTCTATTTACCTCCTGCTAAATAATTTTCATGCAGGGTTATACAAATTGTTTTGTGTTGAGCCACATGCCTTGGCAAAAGCTGACAAACATTATGTTTTTCAAATTTTTAAGTTGTAAATCTGAGTTTATTATTGTATTTATTATTGTTATAGATATATTTAAAGACTTTGCAACTGATTTTTATAACCAACGTTTAAACTTTAGAAACAATCTAAATCTTTTTTGGGGTATTAGTTTGGAATCTTCTTTCCATGAAAATGTATTAATTGATTTGGCTTTTCAAATTAATAATGCTGCTTATTTTTAACCTAAAAATTTTAACACCATGCATTTTATAATGTTTTTGAAATATAGAATGGGAATATTTCTCTTTCGAAAGCTCAAAAATATATCTTCAATCCACAGATTGTTTAATTCAATATTTTGAAAGATGACTAAATTAAAAAGTAGAAGATGATATCTCTCCTTTCAAATAATAAGCTGTTGCCAGAAAATTTTAGTCTAAAACATTTGCTTTAAAAAAAAATTATCGAAAATCATACTCAAAAAGTGTGAACACCCTGTGTGTATTCAATCAAATTCTCTCAAAAGTTTCAAGAATTTAGAGCATATCTTCAAAAGTTAGGAAGATTAGAAACGGATTAAAATTTTTCTAATCTCTTTCTGTTCTCGTGTTCGTATACTAGCTTAGTTAACAGTGATTAAATGTCAAAATCTATCATAGCTCTTTTCTGCAGTAAGACATAGAGGTAAATGCACATTAACCCCTTAACCTACAATTTAGATTCGGAGATGTTGGGCCGAAATAGTATACAAGCTCGTGCAGCGTTTGGGACATTTGCACGACTTGTGTAACACACTAATCTGGGCAATTGTAAACATGATGAATTATGTAATTTTCGAAGAAAGTATAGGCGAATAATTATTGATGATACATCCGATGATGGTCAACTACCAGAGTCCTGGCTTTGGAAAGAAATAAGAAATAGTCCAAAAATTTGGGACTATACGATGACTCCTGGCATAAGAAAGGAAGCCTTATGTCAATTAGGGAAGAAGTAGAGGAGAATTTCATATATTTAATCTAATATTTGATGACATATTTTGGAACAATATTGTAACCAAAATGAATCACTAATGCAGATCAAGTACGAGAAAATCCACATAGATTGGTGTTGGTGTATTTAATTATGGCAAAGCACACGAGGGCTATCTGCCTAAAGGGAGGGATGCCTTTTGTGGAGGACTTTCTAAGGGAAACTGGCTCGTATACACGTTACACATGGGGAAAACCACGAAAACGCCCATGCAGCCAGCCCGTTCGCGGGATTCGAACCTCAGACCGAACTACCAGTGTTCAGCGTCTTTACCGCTCGGCCGCTGGTGGGCTAAAAAATCCACATAGAACACAAGTATAAAAAGTGTAAAGTTCCGTTACATGTACCAGAATGCTTTGAGATATATCATACCATTACAGATTACTAATTTGGTATTTTGGAGTTTTGTATAAATAAACATTTTGTAATACTTGCATCTACTACAATTCTTGCATCAGACTGTAACTGTGCATCAAATATTCCACGTAATATTCACTTCTGGCCCGATCACCGTACGCCGGCTATGCCCGTGAAAGTTAGGTTTGACCCGACCATCGCACATGGGCTATGCCCGTGAAAGTTAGGTTTGGCCCAACCATCGCATGTGGGCTATGCCCGTCATTGTAGATTAAGGGGTTAAGTTGATAAGCAAAAGTATGTTTTATGCTATATTTACATTTCTATATTATTTAAAATAAATGCATGATTTTTAGTAGCATTTTTACATGCTTATGACACTGATTAACAATAAATTAAATATAAAAGTCATGTCTTGGGAAAAAGAAATTGCAAAATTCTTTATTTTTGCAATATATTATTCTGAGATCATGAGTAATTAAAAAGAGTTCCATTGCATACATTTTTTTAATACATATGCAAAGAACTAAAATTTTTATTTATTTATACTATGTTCAAATGTTCGAAATGTTTGCAATTTATCTATGATCAAATTAATCCTTTGTAGGGATTTAAAAAAAATCAATCTTCAAATAAATCATAAGAGGAAAAAAAAACTTATTTTAAAGAAAAATCACAAATCTTACTTGCTTTCTTTTTCTTAGTTGCGAAGCTACCTTATTTTCTTCTTTAAGTAAATGTATAGAGGAAAGCAAGAGTTCATCTAAATTTTCAGTACAAATGATCTAGCAGGGAAATATTAATATATTTAAAAGTACGTAACATTTTCAAATAAAACTGAACTTTGGTGAAATAAGAAAAAAGCAAACAGTGTGTGTTAGCCCAAGTTAATATCATTTCATTATCAATACCTTTTCAAAACACAAAACAAAAAAATTCCTTGTACTAATAATAAAGCTAGAAATAAATTTTAAAAAATTTTCGTTTATAACAAAAATAATCATTAAACATGCAATTGCTAATGCATATATATAATAAAGGTTAAACGAAATCTGCAATTTTTAATGAGAGGATCACTTTAGACTTTTTAGATTCTCAAGCAAAATTTATGAAATTTGAATTTGTAAAATAAAAAAGATAGACGGATATATAAGAGAAATGAATGATAAAATTGTACAACTTATTCATTAAAAAATAAAAAGCACTTCCTTTCACAAATGAATGTATTTTAAAGCAACTGATTTAAGCAATTGACTAAAATGTAAACATTGTTCTCAGTAATTCCCCCCCCCCCCCCGACAAAAAAGAGCATTTAGTATTCAAAACTGTATTTAGAACTCAACAATGTAGAAGAAAATTATGGTAAATAAATAATAAAAAATACATTTCCCCCAAAGCACAGTTGTATAACTTTTTTTTATAGATAGCTAATTGCTAAAATTCTACTTTGTGTTTTTCATGTCACAAAAGCAGAATTTAGGATATATATTAAGACTTATGTGTATCATTGATTTCACGTATGACTTTTGATACAAAACTGAACTTTTCCTGAAAAGATAAGTGTCCCCCCCACATATTTTGATTTTATGCTTCTAAATATGCCAAAGGAAAAAGTTTTCTAAAAATTACAAGGAAAAAATATTTTTGTTTTTAGTAATACTCAAAATTTCAGTTTTAATGATAAATGAAATATTATTCAAAACATTATGCTATTATTTCCAATAAACTACTAAAAATCTAGCTAGATTAATTAATAAATTTTTAACTTTACTTTTTGTATATACTACTGTACACATTCAAATCAAAATCTAAATTGCAATAAAATTCTTTTGCATTATACACATCATATGCTTATCACAGCACACTTCTTTTAATTTAAGTAGAATATGCTTTTTTAATATTCTTTTCTTTATCCCATTTATTTATATTTAGAAAAAAAAAAAAAAAAAAAAAAAAAAAAAAAAGCCAGAACATTAAAGTATTTAATTTTATCCAAAAACTTTACTGTTATAAGGTGACAATATTAGATAATGCTTTTATTTAAAAAAATACACAAAAATATTTCTAAAAGTTTTTATATATTCATTATTTTAGGTTTTTAAAAATTTTAACGGCATATGCTTATTTAAAATGTTAGACTGCAACCTATAATTTTTCTGATTGCAAAATAATTATATTTAGTTCTTTTAACAGAAACATTACTGTCCAGATAGGATAACAGTTAGTGATGCTGACTATTGTAGCGAAGGTGCCAGGTTCAAATCCTGCAAAAGGCATGAGTACTTGCAAATGCATTATGTTTGTGTAGCATCAGGCAATGAAAATATACAGTGAGCCAAAAGTTATTTCGAATGATTTGGTGGAAAGGGAAGAGGAGTGGAAAATAGTCTGACATATTTCCCAGGGTGGTTCCCTTGAAATTGGGGTGGAACTGGGCAATCATATTGTCACCTATGTGGTGCTCAAGACTCATGATGATGACAGACACAGTCTTGCACTCTTCGCCCCAATAAAATTCAAGTACTCATTCTGATTAGGTCAGACAAGTTAGGCTAGCCATAATAATAGATCCCACAGTTAGTTTCAGAGGTAGTTGTCTTAATTTAATTCAGATATTTCTTATGATTATTCTCTGATTATGTATTTTATCAGATACTAGAGTCAAATCCTTTATGTTTAATATGACAGATAATCGTAAGTCTCAAATGTATTAAAAAATACATGTAAATTTAAAGGAATTTCTTTCTTAAAATAACTCTCTCATTATTTCCCTGACATCATAATTGTTTTTTAAAATATGCAAATTAAAAAAGTTAAGTATTTCTTAAAGATACCAGAGATATTGCGATTAAAATGCAGATGTAAATAGGCCAAGCTTCTGATTTCCCACTGAGTTGTCACATGACTATTCTTTAGAGAAATTTTAAAATAAAATTAGAAGTTAATGAAGTAAAATTATTTTGCAGTGCCAAGCTGAAAATCAGTACCAGCATTCAATTTCAAATAAATGGAAGTACAATTGTACAATTTTTACAAAATTCGGCATTTAGGCGTAATTTGAGGTGTAGAATGCACCATTAAATATATATATTGGCATATCATTTCAAGAAAAAGTGATTTTTGTTTAAAATATTTAAATTAGAACAGTGTACTACATAACACTAGCATAAATTTTAAGTTGTGCTTCCAGAACATGCAAAATACTAATTGAATTTGTAAATTGCCCAGCCAGTAAATATGGAATTGTCCCTTATTTTGTCACTTGTTTTCTAACCGCTAGATATACCTACTTTATACAAAAAATGTGTTTTAATTATAAATGAAATAACTTTGTATAAAATATAACACAAAAAATACCTATATTATTTGTTTCTTTACTAAGACTCCTTTTTCCCTTGTTGCAGTGTGTTTGGCACTTTTAATTTTTTTTTAATGCAATAATTTTTGCTACTGTAATTTCTTTTTTCAAAATTAAGCACAAGAAGCTACCAATTATTTCTGAAGAGCTGAAGAATTTTTGAAAGATTCAATTCTTCAATGATCTGGGTTTTTTAATGAACATAAAAAAAAAGGATATTTAATGTGAAAAAATACCTCTTTATAATTACATACTTTTGACCTATATTGAACACTTTCAGACCCTGTTTTTTGACATAATGCTTCATCTGCTTTTGGATCCCAAATTATTTCAGTAGATTTTTTTTCTTCATATTCTATTGTATGCATTAAAAGAGCTCTTAAAAAAAGTTCATTCCAACTTGTAATAGCATAAACAGGCTAGAAAAATGAAAGAAAATTTAGATTTTATTGTAAATAACACTACAAATAATTCAATAAAAATAAATGTTTATAAAAGGTCCAAAATATTTCATTATATTTTAGCATTAAAGAACTAAGCATTAATTCTATAATGTAAACAGACAGAAAATTATCTAAAAGAAGCATGTTTTTCCTTAATCTGATAATACATTATGATTATAAAGAAGTACAAATGTCTAGAAATGCAATATACTCTGAAGTAAATAAATGTTAAAAACTAAACCAACTTTAAGAGAATTTGATATTTAAAAGAGCAGATTAACAAACAATTTATCATTATTTCATAAAGATGATTAAAATATGCAAATCAATTTTATTTTAAGTAAACAGTTAAAAAAATAAGTAATTTAAAAATAAATGCATTTTCAACTTATGAAGAGTCAAAGACATGAATAGAAACAAAAAAATGCCAACAACAATACAGGGTGTTCATAATTAAACTTGGAATTTGCAAGCAGTCTGTAGCAAAAACTACACAGCGGAATTGCATGAAAATTTAGTAGTGGCAGAATGAAATGATGGGAATTTTATCAAGGAAATAAAAAACAATGAGTTACAAGAACCACCTCTAGGGGTGTATCATAGCATTATTGAGAACATATAAATAATCTACAAAAGTTTACAAAACATGCTCGATATGATGTTCACCATTGTCTGTTACCATCTGGAAGTGTAAAATCACATGTTCGACTATTGAAAGCAGCATGAACTGGGGAATGTTACAGACATGGCACTCTATGCTTTCTTTAAGATCAGATAGAGATATCATGCGATCATGGTAGACCATGTCATTGAGGTATCCCCACAGCCAAAAGTGCCAAGGATTCAAGTTGGTCGACCTAGGAGGCCAAGGTACAGGAAATTGCTGACTGATGATCCTGTTGCCTGTTGTGTGAAGCACTTTGCACAACGGGCAATGTGTGGAGGAGCACCAGCCTGCATAAACACTGTGGTTATATCACATCGTCTTGCCTGAAGAGCTGGAATAACGGATTGATCTAATAATGAAGCATATCGTTGACCCATGACGGTGCATGTTACAGGCCATGCGGCACTGTGCTCTTCGGGGGGGGGGGACCCCCATAGTGAAGGTTTCAGTACAGTCGCACCAAACTGTTACATGCGAAGAGTGTAATGGAATTTGTAGGAATTGATGCGAGTTTGTAGTAGCCCAAATATGACAATTGTGCATGTTAACCACACCTTCCACATGAAAGTGGGCCTCATCGGTCCACAAAATCTTCCATGGCCATTCATCCTGGAGCTCACCTCATGCAAGAAACTGCAACGCAAAAGCTTGTCAACTATTCAGATCAACTGGTAAGAGCTGCTCCACTAGTGACAGTTTATAGGGATAGTAGCGTAAGACCTTTTAAAGAATCTTATGAACCATAGAACGTGGTTGGTCAACAGATGCTGCAATACGCTGAACACTAGTGCTGCCGATGGTTTGAGATCTGTCTTCCTCCACTTATGTCACTACATCATGCACTACCTGTGCTGCAACACACTTTCGTTCCTTTCCTGGCTGAATTCCCAATATTCCTGTTGCTTCAAATCTCCTAATCATGTTTGTTAGTCCTTGACTAGCGAGTGGACCTTTTCGCAACTGTATCAAAGACTGAAATTTCTGCAAAGCTTTGGTAGCAGAGTCTCCATTTTAGTAAAACAATTTCATCAGTAAAGCATGTTCCTGGAGCATCAACATCATTTTCCTTACTTGGAAAGGAGTATGACTGTGGTTTGCCTCTTACATCTTTATAGGGTTGCTGTGCGTGCACAGAATTACCATGGTTACAACACTTGCATATGCCAATAGTTTACATTGCAGAATGCCATCTAGTGGCAGTTTTTAAAACTTATTGTTTCTCCCCCCTTCAAAAAATTTACATAATTTCATTCTGTCGTTACCCAATTCTAAAGCAATTCTGCTGCATAGTTTTTGCTATAGACTGCTCACAAATTTCAAGTTTAATTGTGGACACCCTGAATATCCAAAAGCAACAGAAACAACAATATATTAAAAAAGGCCTTACTTGCTTAAGTTTTTTATGTTCTAATGATTTCAAAAGCTCTATACAATAGACCTTCTTTGAGAAATGGAACACAGGCTCCTCATCATAAAAAGAAGATTCCTATCATTGAAAGATTACACACAAATATAAAGGAATTTTCAAAAATATAACCAACTGCATAAAAATAAAATAGGAGTTTTCAATAATCATACAAAACTAATTCTTTCACTGTTCTTAGACCAAATGGCTTGAATCTCAAAATGATAGTAAAACATAATTTATCAACATAACAAATACTTTCTTTGTCAGTATCATTTTATAAGTTTGCTGGCAAAAATAAATAAATTATAAGGTATTTTCTCCCTCATTTCGGCACGCCTTCATGGTGTAACGATACTATATTCGAGAGGTCTTCGTTCAAGTCCCAGCGAGGGCACTACCAGTAGCACCTGAACTAAAAGGTGGTGGATGATGAATTTTCACCATCAGCAATTTGGCGGTTTGGTCCCCTAATCACCAGTTGCCCTTTAAAAGGGTGAGTATATAAGGTATGTTCTCCCTCCTTTCTGCAAGCCTTTGTGGTGTAACGGTAATACACTCAACGCATATTCGAGAGGACCACGTTCAAGTCCCCGTGAGGGCATTGCATATTTTACATACCTCCAGCATAAAAAAATCAAATTAGCATCAAATCCTAATGACTCGACTGTGGCGCCCAAACTAAAAGGTGGTGGATGATAATTTTTCACCACCAGCATTTGGCAATTGGGTTCCTTAATGCCCAGTCACACTTTAAAAAGGGGAAGAAAATATCTTTCTGCATTCCTCTGTGGTTAATGTGGTTCATCTTCAAGATCAAAATTACTGGATCAAAATTTTGCAAACCACTGGCGTTTGGTTAATACATCTTCTCCATACATATCAGATAATTTTTTTTCTTGCTTGAACAGCATTTTTACCTTTTTGATAGCAAAAAAAGCAAAATTTGCTGAAAGTGCTGCTTTTCACTTTCCATATTTGAAAGATCACCAACTAAAAACTACTGCATAGAATCTATTGTTTTCACAAACAAGCCTTGCTACGTCAAATGTTAAAATATATAATGACTAAGCAGCTTAAGCGTGAAGATGGCTGTAAAAAAATACAATTAAGCCCTCTGTTGGGAAAAAGTGAAATTACTTTCCGGACAAAGTGGTATATTAGACACACTTGCAAGAAACAAATGGTTTCAAACCTGGATCTGGAAAACAATTATTGGCAAGTTAAAAATCATGAGTGGACTACATTTGCTATGAGTCAGGGACTTAACAATTTACATTTGAACTGTGAAATGCTCCAGCAACAATGTAAAATTTAATAAAGACAGTTTTGAACATATGAAGCATGTCTTACATATATTTCTAGGATAATATTATAGTCAGATGTACTTTTAAGGAACATTTGAGAATTATCAGGAAGCCACTACAGAAATTCAGATGCAAAGTTAAGTAATTCAAAATATAAATTATTTATAATGAAAAGTTATCTATCTTGGTCACCAAAGGTACACATTCTGAATATACCAAGATCACTTGTGATTACTGCCATCCTCAAGATTATGCATCAGTTAAAATGCTTTCTCAGACTTTGCATGCAACAGTAAATATTTTTTTAAAATTGCCAGGCTATACATGACCTAGTAGAAGAAGAACAAAAGTTTTCTTGGACTGCTAAGTGTGAGAAATATTTATGGGTCGAAACATTTAAAATTCATCCATTCCTGTATTAGACCATCCCAAACTTAAATACGACTTATGCAGATGCCAGCAATGAAAGAATTATAAATGTTCTCTCCCCAGAAACTGATGGCCGGAAGCATCTTAAACACTCAAGGTTTATCAGCTCAACAGTTTATATAATTGCAGGAGAAAAGGGTAACAGAAACTGATAAAACACTGAGACTATTTTCAAAATCAGCACTGAGAAGAACTATGAATTTAAGTGTCATAAATTTTCATAGAACTGGGTAATCTACAATTAAAAAAATTTAGTTAAAATTAGATTGAGTGAGAACTAAACGGTGGTGGATGATGAATTTTCACCCTTCCTTTTTGACCTAAATGACCACATATTAAACGGAAAAAATGAATCAAATACAGGTAAAGCTAATAAGTATGTTAATAATAATTATTTAAAAAACTAAAGCTTGGCCACAACATCTCAAATTAATGAGAGTTCACAAACTTTTATTTTTGTTTCTTTTATATCTATAATAGGTTTTCATCAACAAAAATCCTGCTAATTTTACGGATATTCTTATTATTATGAAATCCTGAGCTGAAGACAAACGTTTCTGCCCCTTCGCCACCCATCTCTTGAGTTCAGATCTCATTGACCAATCAGAAGTCACCACAATCTCAAGGAACAACCCAGATATGCATTACATTGTTTTCCCTATTTAAGTGTTTCTGATGTCCTTTCTATAATCAAATTTAATTTGGATTTTCTGAACATTTTAAGTGCTCATCTGAAAGTAATTGGCTATCCTACACAAGTTCCTCCCTCCAGCCTCTGCTCGACGGAATCCATCTAAAGAAGTACCAGCACAGGAGCAAGGAGTTTCTTTTTTCTCTTTCTCACCACACACTTCCACCTCTACAAGAGAAAATTCCATTTAGGTTTCTTCGCTGTCAGGCGCTACATGGGACTACAACCGGAACTGGCAAGAGCAGGATATTGTTTTCCTGCTGATAGCCAGTATAGCTACAAAGTTCCACCTTGTGCATTACTTCCATTTTAAAAATAAATCACAATGTATTGCTTTTGTTAGAGCCATGCATTCTGCTACTTTTGTAGGAAGTATTTGAAAACATGAAAAATATATTTTTTATAGAATACTGAATATCATCATATAATTAAATTATATTTTGATGTCAATCTGCAATATTAGACACTGTTTAAAAATGCAAAGCTTACTTCAGATTCTTCACAGTCATTAAAAAAGGTATCTGAAGATGACTCACAGGCAAATTCATCTAATTTCATATCCATGAACATTAGAAAACGCTCATACCAAGAAGGAAAATTATTCGAAATCTGAAATATACAATGTTTGAAAAAAGATCTTCTAAAAGTACTAATAGCACTTTGAAAATAAAGAATTATACTATTAGCAGAAAAAAAAATTTACTATTTTATCAATATAAATTTTATTTAAATCTCTAGACAGAAATATATTTTTGAGATACATATTTAAATATTTTTAATAAATATTTATTTTTGAATTTTAATATCTACTCTTTTAGTAACTAAATTATTAAGAACAAAAATAAAATATAAAATTCATAAAACCTACGCTCTGTTACATAAATGTTAAATTATGCTCTGTTACATAAATAGTGATATTTATAATCAGAAGCTACTGAATGAATTTTTTTAAAATTTAAAGCAATCTATTTAATATTTTTAAATGAAAGTTTTTTAATCATTATAATTAAGATGGTATACAGAAAACTAAAGCACATATTTTTATACAAAATATGAATTAACATCAAAGAAATTCTCAATCATTTAACATATTTTTTATACATAAAAATTGGTTTTCAGTGCAAATATTAAAACACTTAGAATTATTACACTTAGACTAGAATTATTATTATTAAAACAGACTAGAATTATCATAAAGGCATAAACAGAATAACAAATGAGATGTCAAAAAGAAACCCTGTACAGTTTTAAAATTAATTAATACCACATGTAACATGTTAAATTATATTTTAATATTCAATTTATGAAACATTATTAGAATAATATAAGACAATACACAAACGTCATTTTCAGGTTCTTTTATATTGCCTCTCAAAAACTGTATTTCTAAAGTAATTGAATCAATCAGGCTCTTTTTATCTTCAATACCAGTTGTTAATAGATTATTGCAAACAACAGCATATTTTTCCTCCTAAAAAAACATAATATAATATGTATATATATATATATAGTAATCACACATTTAATATCTAATTATATATTTCGAGCAAGAAATATTTTTTGTGCTAAAAATAAAGATATCACATAAAAAAATAAAGATATCAGATAAAATGTAATAATCTTTTACTTTTAAAAATATATACTAAATTTTCAATAATTTTTTTAGAGGATACATCATAAATAAAAGAGCCCTTTCCAAGTTTCAGTAAAAATGCTAATAAAGAACTGTTACAAATAAAGAAAAGAAACAATTTACTTATCCAAAAGTAAAAAATTCATACAAATTATTCTTACACACATCATGGCATAAGCCAAGAACAATGAAATTATCAGTATAATACTTAGTGATCATACAAGTATTTCAAAATAAAAAAATAGAAAATGTACAGGTCTTGCAATTCAGTGCCACAAAATATTGAATATTTAATCATCTAAAGGAAATAATACAAGCAATTTCTGTAATCTCTAGAAACTCCATAGATTTTGCTAAATTTAATTTTAGTTTAAAAAATCTTAGAAACTGTATAGACTTTGCTAAAGTTAATTTTAGTTAAAAAAATCTAAGTCCTAAGGACAAAAATTAAAATTTTCATTATAGTAAATAGGATAAATATTATCACCTAATAATAATCTCTATATAAAATTATCAGAATTCCCTTATTTATATGTACTATTATTAAAATAATTTTGCGTTCACATACAAAAAATACATTTTATAAGAAATTCCTATACAACCCGCTTATTCCCCCTCCCCCCCCCAAACAGCGTAAGCATGTTCTGTTGTGAAAATCTTAAGATTTTAAAATCAAAATTATTTTATTTCTAAATTTTAAATAGATGAAAACCATGTTTACATAGCAATTTAGAATTGCTGCATAAATAATGTAAAATTACTTTAAAAAAAAGGGGTGGGGGAGAAACGATATACCAGCATCACTTAGCACTATTTTATCTCTTGGCTTGGTTTACTTGTTTATGTCAAAACACTCAAGGGGAGATATATCTTCATGGGGGTTCATAATTCTCTGCTTAAGGAAAAGGATGCCTTCATGGAGGATTTCCTAAGGGAACTGGCTCATATACCTGTAACACATGGAGAAAACCATGAAAACACACTCATGCAGCCAGCCCGTTCATTGGGATTTCATTGGGAAACTGGACCGAGCTACCAGTGTTCTGTGACTTTACAGCTCGGCTGCCGGTGGACCTTTTACCTTTTGGGTTACATTCTTACCAAATGAAAAATAAAGTAACAGCTTTAATGAATATTATATATAATGTTTATCACTCTGTATTTTCAGACACATTAATCTAGGCACTCAGAATATCATTATACATTTTCAACATTTAATTGACTACTACAGATATATTGAAATTTAAAACTGATTGTGTTTTATGTTAATACATATATCAAAATTATTACAAAACATATATAACATTTTTGAATACCTACAAATAAAACATTTCTCTATATACAAATGTAAGCTGCTGATTGAAAAGATTTAAGATGTTACTTTGATTCAGAATTAGATGATTCTATTGATTTAAATTGTAATTTTTTATATTATTTTATTAAATATTTGTTTTTATTAATCTAAATAATTTATAATAGGGTTTACAACAAACAGTATATCACTTCTAAAATTATTGCTACCAAATATTATTGACCTGTATTATTTTTAAAGAAATTAAATAATGAAGAATCTGCATGTATGAATGCATGCTCCTTGTATTTTGAAAAAAATATGGTACCTAGAGCCATCAAATTTTCAACAATGTAGTCCTCCACCTGAAAGTTCAAATTCTGAATTTGTTTTATTATTTATTTCATATTTTGTAAAACTTTAATGAATTTTTGATTAATAAACTCAACAATTTGAAAGCGAACCATGGCAACACTATTCAAAATAAAACGTTTTTATCTACAGTGCATGAGATTGTTTATTCTTAAGACATGATGATTTTAAATATTTTGTGATTTTGTTGTTGAACTGAATTTTATGTTTTGTTAAGTGCAAAAAACGTGATACTTAATAGCTAAAGTAACAATAAAGTTAATAATAAAAGGGCTAATTTTTTTATTAGCCATCTTAACTAAGAAAACTGAATATTGATATGATGAACTGAGAAATGACCAAAAAAATATACAAACGTATGCTGACAGGATGCACAAAACATATGGCATACTCCTGCATATGTATGCTGAAATATGCAGGAGTGAGTTCAAGAGCAGACTGTTGTACTGCAAGCTCAGTGAAAGCATAAACCTTAACAAACCTTTTTGTGCAACCATTAAAATATGAAACCCTTCAAATTACATAATTTAAAATACTAATTAAAATACTGTTTGAAAAAGTTTTGGTACTTTTCCGTTTTGCCGGCGCAGGCGATAAAGTCGCCAATAATGGTACAACTGGTTCCAAATGGAATATCCTCGCTGGTAAACTTTCATGCCTAATTTTCAAAACAAGTAGCAGCCATTTCTTATCAGATTGATTTTTCTTTCAATACTGGCATACAATTACGTAGAATATTTACCAGATAGTTCAATTTTATGCCCTAAAGGCCATTCGTGGTAAATAAGTCAATTAGGATGCAATCACACTGCTCACCCGAAGGCGAAAATATAGAAAAGGCAAAGTTAAGGATTAAATGCATCAATTCTAATGAGAATGCACTAGCGAAGTAAAGGACTGTGGTTTTACATAATTTCTGAGTAAGCTATTTGTACGAACTGAAATAATTCTTGCATTTAAACTTGTATTCCAAATTAAGATTTAACTTGAAATTAATGTAGATAATTACTGAGAGAATTAGATTTTTATAGCGTAGTTTACGTGAGATGAGATCCCTTGGGATCACGTGATATGAACTGGCGAATCAGGATGTTGAACTATGACAGTGTAGTAAGTTCTTAACTTTCCAGCATGCGCGCTTGGCAATTTTACACGAGCACGCGCGTGTCGTATTTTTTACGACATCCGTAATTTTATCATTTTGGGCACGAAAAACAACAGAAATGAGTGAATATTGATAATAAATTTGTTAAGAAATAAAATATTAAACTTAATATTGCAAAATACAAATGATATCACATTCAAATATAAGTAAATTATTTTTAAGTTCTTATGTTAGTGAGATGGAAATGCAATGATGTATTTTATTATAGAAAATTTTAAATGTATTATTTAATAATTATATTTTAAAATGGAAGCTAATTTTAATATTCCCCAAAGACAAGTATAGACAATAAAAAAGGAAAACACTTTGGTAGGAAAAAAAGTAAGTTTAGCATTACTTACTTTTGCAAGGAAATTTACTTCTTACTAGTTACAAAAATGCACTTTAAACTAACTTTAATGTTTTTATTTATTTCTATAAAATAGAAATAAAAGAAAATAAGGAATGGAAATCGCTATTGTTCTCCCATCCAAAGGTTTCCTTGTGTTCCTTTTGTTCATCAGATAATTCTTGAAGAATCCGAGCAAAATCAGTTGAGTTTTTTTTTTTAATATTCATGGTTTTAATTGAATTTTTGCTCCTTGGAGATGGTATATGAAAAGTTTGCCAATTATAAATTATTGGTTTATTACGTAGTGCATTTTTTAAGTAAAGGCCGTTTTATTGTGTACATTTACAGGTGGCGCGTGCGCTGCAACGAGTACTTGCGTCATGGGCCGGAATTCCTTGGAAACAACTGTGCTCAGTTACAGTTGCGTAGGCAACCTGTATGATCTGTTCTCAGTCTTTAAAATGTTCAAGATTATCGAAGCACCTGCCACATGCAAAGTATGGTCAGTGATACTTTTTTGTCAACAAAAAACATGCCTGCTGCAGATTAATGAAGTTTACGGAGCTACTGCCATGTGCAAAGGCAAAGTGCGTAAGACTTCGAAGCTAGCCGTGACAATGTCCATGAAGAGTCCCACTCTGGTTGCCCATCTGAGATTACATACAATATGATGGCTTCAGCTGAAGTGAAAATTCTTGAAAACAGATGCTTCACCATAAGCAAGCATTCAAATGAATTTCCTGAACTGTCTAACTCAGTGGTGTAAAAGATTGTTTCTGAAAAGTTAAGATTTAAGAAATTGTGCTCCCATTGGGTCCCTAAACTCCTGATGGAGGCCCACAAAAGCAAAAGATTCGAGTATTCGCTGAATTTTTTTACTCATTATAATGAAAAAGGTGACGCCATGTTGAGTCAGATTGTAACGGGAGACAAAAAGTGGGTTTCACATGTCACAACCGAATGGAAATGACAGAGCATGGAGTGGAGACACACACACTATCCTGTAAGGGTAAAGCCAAACAAACTGTGTCCCAGGGAAAGATCATGGCATCCGTGTCTTGGGATAGGCATGGTGTTTTGTTGGTTGAATTCATGCAATGTGGAACCACCATAAATGTGGTAGCCTACTGCCAAACCCTGAGAAAGCTCTGCACAGCAATTCAAAACAAAAGATGTGGCATCCTGACAAAAGCGACTTTTGCTACTCCATGACAATGCAAGGCCTCACACCACAGCTCAGACCCAAGCTTGACTGGATTCTTTTGGCTGGGAAGTTTTGAACTACAGCCCAGACATTACACTAAGAGATTTTCATCTTTTCTGCTATCTCAAACATCATCTCAGCGGCAACCACTACAAGGATGATGAAGACATGAAAACTATCGTGACCTCTTGATTATTGGAGCAGGGGCAAGTTTTTATAAAGAGGGTATTAAAAATCTAGTTATTAGGTATGATAAGTGTTTAAACACTTGGCAACTATGTTGAAAAATAGAGAAAAGTGTGCAGAATCTAAAAATAAATTTGGTTTCTGAAAATGTTCTTTCATTTGGTTTTTATTCTCAAACGGCCCTTACTTAAAAAACATCCCTCAGCAGCTTTAGCACAGGTCACAGGCCTTTTAATTTACTCATAATTACTTTTATTTAGAATCTCTCTCTCTCTCTATCTATGCATATATACATGTCTTCACAGTGAATTAAAATTTTACAGAATTTTATGAATATTCAAAAATACAAAATAGATGATTTTGTGATATCTCTTTTATTACTGTGGCTAGGAAGATCTTGCTTCCTTCTAGCCATAGCAATAAAAGGAATGTCTTATTCCTGAGAAGAGTACATGTACTCGTCTTTTCAGTGTTTAAAATACTCATAAATCACTTAATGCTCAATTTATGTTATAAGGGGCTTTAGAGGAGTCCTATCAATTCCAAACAATGTTGCTAATGCCATAAAAGGAACATGCAGCGAGCATTTACCTGGAAGAAAAAAAAATTACTAGTTTGTCAGCAAATCTAATCTTTTTTTTATCCTTATCTTTCAAGAGAGTTTTCAGCATATTTACACGATAGTCCCCATTCCTTGTGGCAATATTGGCAACATTGACATCCATAACCACAGTAGATGGACTGCTAAATATATTTTACTGATCTCTCATAAGTCGTACTCTGTTTATCCTGTTTCTGCCACTAAAATACTGAAGCACACTTGTTGCTCAATACCATATGCATGCCATAAAAATTTCAAATGTTTCAGTACTGTTCTTTTTAAGTTTAAGATAAATTCAATCCCATTCCTGCAATATTTTAACTCAGTCATCATCCTCATTCACCACCATAATATATATACTAGGTGCTCACGCTTGTTGTAAAAAAATTGGAAACCATGGCTATGCAACTAAATATTCAGGCAAAATGATGAATAGCCCTCACAAAATCCAGGACAGGGTTGCTATATTTAATATCAGCAAAGACAAATAGAGGCAGCTTTTAACATTTCTACTAATCAGCCTTAGTAGTAATACTGTAAGAATCAAAATGAGCAAATACTAACTTCTGAAAGCAGAGATTCATCCAACTTATTTACTTCAACAAATCCACAAGCCGTGAGGCTTTTCAAATCTTCCAAGGCATGCTTTATATCAGTCTCTATAATCTGCATGACAATAAGCAGAAGATCTTTACAGTATACGACTATGTGAGATATCTAAATATAAAAACAGAATTAGAAAGGAACTTCAGAGTTCAACTGATTAGTAAAAAATTCAAAGACAAATTCATACCTAACTACATTTGTGTATGATATATGCTTCAAAACAGGTTAAAAATAAGAAATAGTAATAATAAAAAATTGTCTTAAAAACTGCAATTAATATATTTTTTTTCCTTTGAAATATTTTAAAAGCATGATCAAATTTTTAACATACAACTTTCAATTATCACAAAAAGCTAAATAGTTGTTGCTTTAACCTTCCAGCATGTGCGCTATGTGCTAAGTTTACGACAAATTCCGTTTTTAATTCACATTTTTCACATATTACAGCTGAGACATTAAAAGGCGATTTCTATTCCTCCATTCAACTCTTCCTCACATCATGGAATGTGCTAACAGGAAGTCATATGACTATTTTCTTTTTTTACTGGACTTTCATGCTACGTGGCAGCTTCTTCATAAAAGTTACTAGACGCACATTATCATGGGTGAAAATTCAAAAATTATTTTCTCAAATATTTTGTTATTAATTGGCATGTATTATTTTAATTTGTATAAATTCTACTCTATAATTTTTATATTGGTTTCCAGGGCAAAAACAATTTGTGTGAGCAGCTGATTTTGCTCGTATTCTTGCAGAATTATCTGATAAAGAAAAAGAAGGTAAGGAAACCTTTGGATGTGAAAACAATAGCGATTTGAGCGAGGAAAATATCAAGATAAATAGTATCAGCAGTGAATCTTAACAATATTTCAGATGATGATGATAATAATGATACAGAAACAAGAAATGCTGATGATATGTTCCATATTGGTAAGAATAAATTTTCTAAGTGGCGAAAGGAGAAGTATGCAAACTGCCCAAAGACGAAAAAGGTGAATATTTTGAAAGTGTTACCTGGCCTAAAACATCATGCCAAGGATATAGAGGATGAAATAAGATTATTTTTAAAAATAATTTATATAAATATCCCTGGTGAAAGTTTGGAATTTACAAATAAATAAGTGTGCTAAAAGGCAAAAACTCAAGAGACAGAGACTACACTGTTACCTCAAACAAGCTAACACAGCACCATGCCGAAGGATCTTCCTGAAGAATTTATCTATTAGTCTCATGAAACAGCATCTTCATTGGCATGCCCAAATCCAAACACTACATTCCATTTTAACATTTAAGTCATAATTATGCTACTCCTAATGATGAAGTACCAGAGCAATGCTCATAAAAACGAGGAACATGTTGTTTGCGTTGTCAGAGAAAAAAAGAGATCGTCAGAATCTATGAAATGCAAGATACATGTGCAAACGTCATTCTGTTACTGAAATTACTTGCATGGAATGCAATATGAACATCGGACATTGAAGAATCTTCAAAACTCTGTTTTACTGTTTTTGCTCTACTATATTCTATTTATATTATTACTATTCTTTATTTTCTTTTATTTTAATTTTAATAATTTTATTTTTAGAAATAAATAAAAAATTTAAATAAAATTAGTTTTTTGTAACGAGTAAGAAATTAATTTTCTTGCAGAGGCAAATAAGGCTAATCCTACATTTTTTTCCTACCAAGGTGAGCGTAGTTTCTTTTTTTATTTGTTTTTTAATCCTTGCCTTTAATGAGCATTAAAACTAGCTTGGATTTTAAAATATAGTTATTAAATAAAAAATTTTAAATTTTTGATAATGAAATATATCATTCTCATTCCACCTGACTAATATAAACATTTAAACATAATTTACTTTCATTTAAATGGTACATCATATTTATTTTGCAACAGTAATTTTAATATTTCATTTCCCAACAAATTCATTATCAATATTCACTCATTTCTGACATTTTTCGTGCCAAAAATGGTAAAATAACAGGTGTCGTAAAAAATATGATGCGCGCGTGCTCATGTAAAATCGCGAAGCGCGTGTGCTGGAAGGTTAACAAGAAGCTACAGAGAAAAACGTACTAATAGAAAAACCACTTTGTATAATACAAAATCAATATTCAGCAATGACCATATCAGATCATATTTGTTCATTCATCATTACTTGGATTTTAATAGTAAGTTTACTTTGTTAATTGTTCATAAGTCAAAAACAAACTGATGCATATAATAAAATTAAATACCACTTAGTAAATAGAAAATCTTACACAAATTAATATAAAAAAAATTGCATCTATACAAAAACTGAGACATTTCACTGAAATATATACCGTATTTTCTGGCATATAACACGCACTGGTGTATAATGCGTATCTATAATTTCGAGCTATATGATTTTAATTTTTAGGTATATTCATCATATAATGCGTACCCAATTCTTTATGAAGGAACCTAAAAGATACATGTACAATGCTCTGATTTTTGGGGTCATTTATTCAAACATTTGTCCTAGCCTTTTGAACAATGGCATAGAAAATTGACAAACATTAAGGGCCACAAAATGTGTGAGGGTTAAATGCTTACGGGAGTAAATATACCTGCATAAGAGAGTGCAGTGTATTCAGTGCAAGTGTTCAAAGGAATCTATTGCAGGATCTTGAGAAAAGAGGGATATAATTTGGAGTAAGAACGCACTTCCAACCCGAAAGAATTTGCAGAATTATGATTCGCACATTTTCTCTATCTGTGGTCTTTTGAAGATGTGATTTTAAAGTGAACATCAAAGGTTCTAGTTAAAATGCAGTTGATCTAGAATTACTTTTAGTAGTAAATATGGCTCCTGTCAAGCGAAACTACACAGTGCTGGTTTCAAATGCAAAGTCATTCAGTTTGCAAAAGAAAATGAAAATTGTGCTGCAGCAAGGATGTCTAGTATTGGTGAAAGATGAAACAGATGATGATTATTTATTTATGGATAAGAGTAACAGTGGCGGTGAAGATGAAACAGAAATCGATGATGTGCCCGAAAATGTAATGGAAGATGAACATGATGAACTTTTCATGTTATGCGATAATGAAAAGTTAAGTTCAAAAGGTATGTCATTTCTTTTAATTAAACAGCTTAAATACATGTAAAAATTTAACTTTTGCATGCTCACTTTTTCTATATTTTTGTGTCCTGCAGACAATGCACACCTGTAAATTTCAATCATATTTTTAGTGTTAAAAGTGTGTGTTATATGCCGGAATATATGATAAATTTAAAAAAAAAATTCCTTCAGCCAAATTAAAAATATATGTAATAAAAATTTTAAATTATAAAAATATGTTCCTCTTTGATGCACTTTTCTAACTCTATCTAGTTACATATGAAATCTGGCATAAAGATCAATTCATAGTATGCTTCAGAGATTAAATTATATGTAGTCAGTGAGAGTCAGCTCGCAACCCATGAGTTCATTTTCTACGGGATATTCCAAGGTTAAGAAAAAATTATAGTTGTTACTGGTCATTGAGTTTGCAAAAGAAAAGGAAAATTGTGCTGCTAAAAATTGCCATATATAATATTTTTGTGCTTTCTTCTCATAGCATGCAGTATACAGATACACATCACACAAATGTACACTGCACATGCAAAATCCTCATAATTTTACATTATATGTAGTCAGGAGAGTCAGCTTGCGACCCACGAGTTCATTTTCTATGGGACATTCCAAGGTTAAGAAAAAACTTATAGTTGCTACTGGTTATGAATTTCCATATAAACACATAATATTTTTGTGCTTTCTTAGGGTAGCAGATACACAGCACACAAATGTACACTGCACATGCAAAATTCTCATAATTTGCACATAAAAATTAATTTTGATGACACTATTAGCTTAGCATGAGCACACATAGAATTCTCACTAATTTATATTATAGCTGAAACACTAAAAATTGAATTTTGAATTAGCTTAGCATGAGCACACATAGAATTCTCACTAATTTATATTATAGCCGAAACACTAAAAATTGAATTTTGAATTTTCTTCTGTATGTAATTTTATATTTGATCTTAGTACCTTGAAGGTAACATATATTTATTTCTTCAGGAGGTGTTTGTTTCCACTACTGCCTAAACAAAACACATTTAGCAGAACTCAGTATCAAGTAAGTCTTACTTGACTGACTGTCGTGTGACTGAAGTTGACATCAATCCATAATAATTGGTATATATATCTTATTTAGTTAGCATAGTCATTAATTACACAAGTTAATATAATAAAATTAAATCTTATCTATATATTGCATATGCAGATATGGTATGCATTTCTAGACATATTATAAAAAAATATTCATAAGAGTTTATGAGTGTAGCAAGGCAACCAGTAAAATAGTGAAAAGGAAGAACTGACTTATCATCTCAAAATGGAAAAATATGTAAGAAAATGAAAGAGGGTGAAAGTTGCTAAGTGTGCAGACTGAAAATGCTAAGTATGCTATCTAATGACTTTCTTGCATCATAGTAATCTGATGCTCTCGGGTCTGTTGTTGCAAGCAGACTGAAAAATAACAGAACTTGAGCAATAAATGTTAAAACAGGTTCAGAATCAACACTTTGAACATGATTGCTTACAAGCTGCAATAATCTGCAAAAAATGAAATAGCAAGCTTCAAGACAGTCAAAGTTTTAAAAACATGGGATCGTGGGAATATCTTTCTCTAACTGGCTTCAACTACATGGAGGTTTTACCAGAAATATCAAATTTTTTCCCTAAGGCCATTTACGGTAGTTGTAAAATACAGTGGACTCACACCATTCCCCAGTAGGCAAAAACGTTCAAAGGTAACAGAGTAAAGCACTCTAAATAGATAAAGTCAAAGAAAAAGTTCAAGCCAAAGTAGAAAATCAAAAGTGAGGATAAGACCTTGAACCTACAATCTTGGTATCTGCTGGTCTTCATCTATGATCGGTACCACCAGGCTGCATTTTCTTCTTTTACGATGCCTGTTGGGTGAAGTTTTTCATCGTCGAATGTACTCCTTGCTTTCGGGGAATCTGATAAGTAACTGAGCTCCTTGGAAGCTTCCTTTCAGTCACCATACATGCATTTTTGATTTTACCATACTGTTTCCAAGGAATTTTTGAATTTTCTCATCTAATATCCAGTTTATTGCTTAGTTTAGATCTTTCGAGGGTAGCTCGACATTTCCCTTTACTTTCACACTGTACAGGGTCTTTTTCAGATTTTTTTTTCAAGCTTCAAATCTCGAAATTTTATTTTTGTCATCTCTGGGATGATTGTTTTCCTTAGGACTTTTATTTTTGCGAATTTCACTTTGTATACATTGCATTCATGCTAACTGCTAACATAGTCTTCACTGCAGAATATACAGGAGTACATATGAAATCTGGCATAATACTGGAGTACATATGAATCTGGCATTTCTCTTCTAGTTTTTCAAGAAAAAGTCTACTTCTGTGTCCTTGTCTGCATTTACAGCATTTTGCTTGATAGTTACAAAAGTGTTGGGTTTCCCCATACTCCTGGTAACAGTAATATTGGGTGGGTTTTTTCTTTGGGGTAAATCTTTCAAACCTCACATTCCCATGGAACATATTGTTCAGGTAAAATATTGCTTTCCCAGCATTGTTCTTTAATTCAAGGAAGAAAAATGGTAACTTCTCCTGATTTCAGTTTTTAGATCTGGAAAATTGCTTCACCTTCAGAATTGTGAATTTCCTTTTTTCCTAATATAACCCTTTTGCTTATGGAAGCAGGTAAGATCTTCATCGTGACTCTCGTGTGACTTTCACTTGGTAATTGATACATACAGAATGGAATGTTCCTTTCTTTAAGAGCTTTAGTCCTTTTTCTAAAGTCCATAGAATTCTTAGCATGGACAAAAGTTGATTGCATACGAGCCTAATGCTCTTCATCACATATTTCTCTAAACAGTTCAGTTTTCAACCTGTTTGTTGAATTTTGAAAAAAACTATCTGGGGAACTTTTGTATCCATCTTTTCTACATTTTCCTGCTCTGTTTCTTTTAGAATTTCAAGTCTATGAAAACAATTTTCTTGAGCTATTTCTACGAGTTCAGGATTAACAGAAACTTTAGCAGAGTTTTGGGGAATTTTCAACTATCATATTTTCTGATGTGTATAGTAAGCTTTGTCTGTATGGGGCTTTTCGGCTTAGGGTGATGATCTTTTTACAGCTGGTTTACTTGTTTCCAATGTTAGGGTTGGGGAAACACTTTCAATTCCAAATTTTTTTATGGCTTGCATTAGAGATTGTGTTTATCCTTTTATGTAGATAAGTGCAGAGTATCAATGGTGATGATCCTAACGATATACTTTTTTTTTCTGCTTATTTGAGCCAGTTTTCTTCTCAGTATCAGAGACTGCCTTGGAAGGCAAAAACCTTTTGGAAATATTGCTTTTCTTGTTACCCACAAGGGTAAATTTCAGGAATTCATCACATCTTGATGAAATATCTGGTTGAGATTTCATTGAAATTTCAGAATCAGCACAATCACTATAGTCATCACCATCGCATTGGTCAAGAGTCTTAAAGAAGAGCATTTTGATGGTTTGGTTTGGTTTATGTGATTACGTAAAAGTATTCGAGGCTATCTGCCTAAGTGAAGAGATGCCTTTGTGGAGTGCTTTCCAAGGGAAACTGGCTTGTGTACACGTTAAAAAATATGGGGAAAACTACAAAAATGTTCTTGCAGCCAGTCTGTTCACGGGATTTGAACCTTAGACTGAACTATCAGTGTTCAATGACTTTACCACTCAGTCACTGGTAGGCAAAAGAGCATTTTGAAGAGCAAGTTTAAGGCTACATGACTGCAATAAAATCATTATTCAGGTTTATGCTAATAAGTCAAGCTATACAGATGAACTGAACTGCATACAACTCTGTTGATAGCAACTGCTTGAATGAGATATGAATGTCAGTTTTAAAATACTGCCAGTATATCATTATTCACTGCTTTCTAGAAATTGCAGACAAAAATTATATGTAGTGAATAAAATATATGATAGCCTTCTTTTCTTATTCCAGTGAGTTGCATTGTATATACATACTGTTTTTTTAGACAAAAATTAAAGACGCAATAATTTATTATTACAGTTTTTATTATTATTCATTAGTTAATAATAGAAGAGTTAAGCATTTATGATTATGCATAAATAATCATAATACTAATAATGAATAAAAGGATTAATATTATATGTACCATAATCAGTACAATATTTGTTTCTCTCTCTCTTTATTTTCATTTAGGTTTTTCAAACTGATCTCGGTACTTCTATTTGCATATAGTAACTGATGTAGTAGGTTTACATCAGTAGCTCGTGATTCATGTTTCCTGAATTTCATTTACTTGGGGGGAGGGGGGAAAAGATTCACAGATATAAGTTGATCTGCCATGTACTGCAAAAATTTTACAGGGTGGGCTGCTAGCCATCCCTAGTCTAGAACAAGAAATGTAGATTTTTAATTTTAGCTATACCTTCTTGAAACTCGATCACAGCAAATGGAAAAGCAGTAAAGGTTAAAAAAGTATTAATTTAAATTTACATGATTAGATTTATATAGTCATTTTTTAAGTAGTCAGTTAATTAACATAAAAAGAAACTGTGAGGAGTGGAGTTAATGTCTGATCACCTTTGAACAATTTTTGAGCATTTGAAAACAGTATTCTATCTATAACATCTTACTGATCCCTTCTTGAAATCTCAGCAGCACTAAGTAATTTTTGGAGTAGAAATTAAACGAATGATAACACTCCATGCCATCTTAAGATAATGAGGTTAATGTCAACAGACAGCACTGTGTATTCTTGTATCTCTTAAATATTAAAATGTTTAAAACTCTTGGTTATTTTGTGAAATTATAAAAAGCATTTTGACTTCAAGGAATACTAGATACTGATTGCTCGATTTAGTATGCTTCCTCCTTTTCCATTGTTCTAACAGTTCCTTAGAGTCCTTTCACTTCACATCTGCTATCTTATTCAGCATATGTTCTCATATTAGCAAATGGTACACATACAGTAAAGATAACGTTTGCATAAATGTATGGTAGACAAATTTTTGCAAATTAGCACTATGCTGTACGCTATTTACAACATTAATAATACATTTTATATTAATTTAAAACATTTTTTTCATTATAAAAAAGAAATCTGACATTACTAGCATAAACCTGAATTAGCAAGATATTATAATGGTAAAAATGAGTGGAAACTTGAAATTACAGAATAAATCTGAATAAGCAAGATAATGCAATGTTAAAAATGAGGGGAATCTGATATTACTAGAATAAATGTGAAGAAGGAAGATAATATAATGTTAATAATAAGTACCTCAGATTTCAACTGCTGTTCTTTATCCTCCAGAGTCTTCAAATTTAACATCATAAATTCCACTGAATCCTTTTGAAACATAAATGCTTCTGTAAATACCGCTTCAATTTTCCGAAATATTTTCATACCCTAGAAATGTAAATATTCTGTGTTCATTTTTGTTTCTTCTATGAAATACATACACATAAGCAGCTTATGTAGAAAATGTAAATCACACTAACAAAAACTTCTAAATAGTTCGAAAAACTAGAAGAATATTTCTTACTTCAGAGTTACATACAGCAATAAAGTACAATAAAGTATGAAAGTTGTGCTTTCCATAATAAATCAAACATCAGGAGGTAAAAAACTTAAACTGAACAAAGAAATAAGGAACAATAATTTATTAGCATTTAAAAATGCCACTTTACTAATTGTTGGTCATTAATATTAGTCATTTTCAGGAAACACATCCAGTTTCATCTAACACCCATGCCTCTTTCAAAGTTTTATCAAAAGAATTAAAAAGTACATTAATTAAGAGATTTGCCTAAGTGCAAAAGCATACTAAGTAATTAATATAAGAATACATATTACATAAAGTTCACAAATAATTCAGGAGACTGTGCATAGTAACCGAAATAGGAACGTCCTTAGAAAGAATCTGCTCCTCACAGGAGGGGGGGGGGGCGGAAGATTTCTCAAGCCAGCAGTGAATATTTCAGTAAGGATCTGGTTCTATGTAACAACATATAAAAAAGGTTTTTCTTTTCATGAATTTATTATTTTAGACATTAAAATTTTGATATGAATAATGTTTCTATATTTTAGTTTTAAGATCTAAAAGAAGTAAAAAAAATCTGAAAAAGAACATTTTTATAACCTGTATTTCCTACATGTAATTAAAGAACATAATAACTACAGCGTTGTAATATGAAAGAGGTATTGATTCAGATCGGAAATTTGTTGATCATATATACCTGAATGAATCAATGTATAGTTGCCAGAATAAAGAATTAGATAAGTAGCATAAAGGTCAACATTATTTTGGTGAATAAAATTAAACTGCAGTATTGAATTTTTCTTTGTTATCTAATTTATCTTATGTTAAAATTATGAAAGCTACACTCACACATCAAAAACCTCTACACCACTTAATTAAACTCACATTTTTATCAACTCATTTTTAATCATTCATAAGTATGTATCACCTTTGGATATATAATTTTCTGTTACAGTTCCTACATAGATAAGAATATACAGCACACAGATTGTAAGTCTTGTAAAACATTTAGTCTATATGCTCACATCTGTTAGATTCAGTTCTAACCTATTAAGTACTGTCTTAATACCGCTTCATAAGGTGAAACTAAAAGGCCATATAATATTTTCCTGAATTGCCACAAATTTGTCTGTTTCTACAGAATATTAATATTTTTTTATTATTATTACTTTAGAAATTTCTGAAAATTTACATATGGTTCTCAAAATTATTTATATAATTCCTCATCACCTGAAAACTTAAAGAAGTTGCAAAATTTCTAAGCTATATATATGATTGAGGAGAATTTTCAAATGGATTTCTTATTCATCTGCACAATACAAAGATAGTATGTATATTATTATTATCATTATTATTATTATGCAAATATTACTAATATACATAGCAAGATCCTTTTTTCTAAATTTTTAAAACAAGGAAAATGATACAGAAAAAAAGAACAGCAGAAATTTTATTATAATAAAAGTGACTGGTTTAAATTTAATTTGGAAAAAAAAAAAAAAATTAAGATTTGAATGAAAGCTAAAAAATTTATATGAGATTTCAGTGAAAAAATATTAAAAAGGCACAGGAGAAGAACATAAATTACAACTTTGCTTTCAACCATAAAATTTTAAATAGGGGTTATAATCTGACATTTGTAATCTTGACTAACCTCGTTTTGAGAAATTGATTTTACTTCCTGAATGTTTCCGAGTTTCTTTTGATTGAAATCTATTTCCACTTTTTCTTGATTAAGAATGGCATTACAAATATTTCTTAGATCAAAAATGATTTTTGAGGCCTAGAAAGAAATGCATCGATTATAATTATGTTAACATGCTCAAAAATAAAATAATACCAGACCAAAATAGTGTTATAAATCCATTAATTAATATAAATACAAACCTCAAAAACTAAAGATCTTTCAGCCTTGCCTAATTTTTCAAGATGAAGCCTCATTGCCTGAACTTTCTCTTCCTTTTTTTCAATTGCCGTTACATAAATGTTTACACATAATTCAATTATTTCTTGATTCTGAAATTGAAAAGTAATATTTTATTCTTTATTACACTGAATATAAAATAAAACTAAAATAAATAATAAAATATTAAAAAAATTATTAGTACTGATAAAAATAATATTCATAACCAATGGCTAATAATACTAAAGAAAACTATAGTAAGAAATATATAGAAACTAAACTTGGAAATTTTAGATGAATGAGAACACTTTTCTTTAAACCTATGATTCAGTAATAAATAAATAAAAAAAAAAAAAAAAAAAAAAATACTTTCCTTAGATATATTCCTTATCATATCAATGCATTCAAAGTGATTTTAGGGGAAAAATAACATTAATATAAAGAATCAGACATCAAGAAGCTATCACTTTTATTAGTATGCATATGGATATACACAGGAAAAAGAAAATTTTTTGAGATGCATTAGGTTTGTCAGCCTCTCATATTATATGTATTCCACATGTAACTTGTGAATACCGCATTTACACTGTTCATTCTCATATTAGACGGGGTGGGCTGGAATCGCGGAGAAGACTTTAATATCTAATATATTTATAAAATGTATAGTGCCTATACAGCCCGAGAGCACTTAAACTACTGGTGAAATAAAAGTCCTTGAGATGTTCAATGGCAGAATGGGAGACTCACAGTTTCATCTGCCAAAAGATTCTCTTTCTAAACTGGGATGGAGGTAGGAAATTCAAACTGTTATCCCATATTCAAACATTACGGTACACAAAGTAAATGCCAATGACAGATGCAAAATTTTGCTTTGGGGCAGGATAATATCCATGCACCTTTAATCTTGACTTAATTTTGTTTTATAATTATTCAATTATATTCACGAGACTGAATTTTAAATCACTGAAGAAAATAAGAGTGAAACATTTTAAAGAATAAAATAATCTACTAGAGACATTACAGGTGAAAAGTTTGAGTGAATTTTTTTTTTCCTGTTTTACTTTATTTTATATTAAAGTGTTTAAATATTGAAATTTACTAAATTCATGTCAAATCTATATTTCAAGAAGCAGATAGAGCTTTATTTATCAATTTTTCAAATGAAGACAAAATTTAGCAAGTATAAAATAAAATGTTTTAAAGCCTCATTTTTAAAATAATGAATCAGCTACTGACATCTATTGTTAAATTATTATTGCCTTAAGCCTCAGAAATGTTAACCTTAAAATTTTGAATATTGAAATTTTATAGGCATGAAAAACTAATCTTTAAGATCTGGAACTGATATTGTTTTCTAACTATATAAACTGAGTGAAGAGAAATTTGAAAATAAGGTAGAAACATTGAAATTAATTTTCTTTTAAGCCTTCAAGATATTTAAAGCATTTGAAGGTTAGTGATGTTTTAATAAGAAAAGAATACATTGTATAAAATGCTTTAGAAAAGAAATAACTTTAAAACCTAGTACCACACATGTTCCTCCCCCATCAAAAAATTAACCACCATATTTACTTAATTATGTTCCTCTATTTTTTTTTTTTTTTTCCCCTTTTACTGATTTTATTGTGTAAAAATCAAGAGTGGAAAATTATGTGAAAAATTTAATTTTGAAGGAAGCAGTTGTTAACAAATGAAAAAAATGAAATAAAAAGTATTCATGGACATACTGCCATCAGATTTTATTTTTTATTTATTTAAAAGAAAACCTACATTCCAATAAGAATACATAGCAATACTAACATTACAGTATCTAATAAGATATCTTCCTTTCTGCTTCTCTGAACTTTGAATAACACCTGCTCTTATAGTTGCCCACTACTATATCCTAGACCTCATATCATTTAATGTTGTTGAAACTGCTGTTTGTACTGATATAGCTGTTCTGATACAGCTTCCAAATTAATATCAACATCACTATTCTCATAGTCTCTATCACCAATCAGTTTGCCTTTCCACTTGCAACAATCTTCAGAATCATCAAGAGTATCAAATATTCTTGAAGATCTTCACTATTATATCACTATCAGTCAGCAGCCATCTTCTCAAAATCCCCAAGAAAATTAATCAGTATGCTAAAAATGGTCACTACATGGATGAATCTATATTAAAATTTAGGGGCACTCGCTTTATGAAGCCTTGAGGAAGAAAATTATGCAAACACTTAAAAAAATGTTTCAGAACCTTGTGTTAAAAAACTAGGGAGAAAAATATGGAAGTAAATATTGCATGTTTAGACATATAAATTCACAAATAAAAAAAATAAAACATTAAGTGTTACATTATGATATAAGATACCTTAGTAATCTCTGTTTTCAGAATTTCTTCTTCTAAAGCATTTAACAGTAATAGTTGTTTTGAAGTAAATCTTCCTTGTTTTTCAAATAATTCAGAGACCTGCTTTGATACATAAAAAATATTTTTAAGTCTGAATATTATCGAAAAAATCAATAATAAAATTCAAGTCTCATTCTAGTTTAATACTTAAGTAAACATCCAAGTTGATTGTTATAAAATGTTAATAAGGAGAACAGTTTGTTTTTAAATCATTCATTCTCTTCAGTAATATACTCTGAGTTTGTTTTTAAATCATTCATTCTCTTCATTCATTCATACTCTGATGATATGGAAAATAAATGAATGAATTTCTCCCCATTAAAAAAAATACTATTTTATCAGGATATTAAATTTTTTCTTGCAATGAAAACAATAACACTTGATTTGAAATTGTGTTTTAAAAATATCAGTAAAAATAAAAAATAACTAAAAATTAAATTAGTATATTATTTTAAAATAGTAAGTGCAGTTTCACTATTTAAGGAATGCTTAATTACATCTTCCATGATGTACTTCATAAATTCACCTAACTTCATAAAATTTCTCTTTAAACATTCAGCACATATTTCAAATGCAAATTTAACTGCATCTGCATAATTTAAAATTAATTTGAATATTATATTTTATAGGGAGATTAGGTTAAAAAAAATCTTGGTAAAGTTATTAATAAACTACAAAACTGCTTCCTAGCACATAGGGTCAAACATTTTATAGCATTTTAAAATTTTTATCTGTATCAATAAAGGACATTATAAAATAATAAGAAAGTTTTGAAAAAATACTTAAATTACAAATTTTGTTCATCTGGCAATCAGATCAGTTAAATATTTTAAGTTTAGATGGCTGTTCAGAAATTTGTTTTAACTAATTAAACAAGACAAAAAATAAAAATGTTTGCAGAAGCTTGAAGAAGTATGTATAGAAAATGCACTATTATTATTAAACTGTAATGAATTAAAAGCATATGTAAAAAAATATGTGCATAAAATTTGTATCTCTAGAAGTCATTCCTTATGCACATGAATTTCATTAATGCTCAAACCAAAAATACTTCAGTGATATTCGTGAAAGTAAATCTTAAACACCTGTTCTGAATAATTTTGATTTTCTTGCATTTCTCGACTTTTACATTCAGAAGTTACATTTGAAAAAAAAATCTCTTCTTCATAAAAATCAAGAAAACAGATAATATAATAAAAGGAAAAGAAAAGTTTTGAATTCTAGATGAATGACCAAATATCAAATGAAAAGAAAATTAAATCATATGAATATAGTTAACTATAAATGAAAGGAGGAATATGTTCATGCCTAAGGAATAACTTTAAAAAACACTGTAGACTAACAATTTTCAAATATTCAATTTCAAGATATGGACAATAGATTCATAGGCAACTGATTGTTTTTTCTTTAAAATAATAATTGGTATTTTCCTGCTAATAACAAATCCAAATTACATCACATTCAACTTACTGCATTTTTAATACTGTAATCTGAAAAATTATCCCCTTCCCAATTTTTTGCAACAAACATTAATTTGGAGAAAAAAAAAAAAAAAAAAAAAAAAGAGAAAAATGCATTTATCTCATTTTTGTTGATATAAAACTCTCCTCATCCAATTATCAATTGTTAGATGCACCTGTCTTGCATGTTCTACATGTAACTGCTAAAAAAATGAAATTATCATTATTCAAAATTATTCTCAGTTCTAATATAATTTGTCTGAAGAGATTAAACAAAAAACTGTTTTATTTCAAAAAGAGATACACATTGTTAATGATAATTTACATTTAATGTTCTAAAAAAAAGCAAACTTTCCTATTTTTACTGAAGACTCAATAGAATGTCAATGATGCAAATGATGAACTTTGGAGGATAAAATGATTTTGCACCAACAAAGAGACAATTTCTTGGTTTCGCTTCATGGAAATGTAACTATTTGATTATACTTATATAAAAATTCACAAAAGTAATAATACAAAAATGAATTAATGAATTAGTGCTGTTACTATTTTATTTTCAATTTACACCCTCAAAAATTTTTGAAAAGAAATATAAAATTATTTAAATAAAGATTTATTGCAAGTTGAAATTTATAAGCCTTTCCAAATATTTCAACTGTTAACAATTCTTCTTAAACAAAATAACACTAATAATGTAAAATTTAAATGTAGAAACTGTTATATGTCATGATTTTAATATAAGATTTATGAAAATAAATAAAAAAAGTGTAATAACCGAATTTAAAAAAAAAAAAAAAAAAAAAAAAAAGACTATTGAATATAAGTGAAGAATTGAAACATGAAATTCACTCAGTGAACTAGACATGTTTTCTAGGAAAAATATTAAGAAAATGAATATCAACAAAAACATAGTATACTCTTCTCTCCAACTTAAAATTACAGTACTCTTTTAATACATTTTTTGACTCCTTCCTAAAAATAAGAAATCCTTAAAAAAAATAAATAAAAATTCATATACAGTCAAAAGTCGTTAATCCGGACTCGCCGGGACTTCGGCGATTCCGGATTATCGATTTTTCCGGATTATAGATCATCAGTTTAAATCTCGTAAGATGGCATGCAGAAATTCTAAAATTAAAAATATGAAACCGTACTTTATGAAATAAAGAACAATTATGATCTAAAGGGTATCAAAATTAAAAAAAAAAAAAAAGCTTAATATTTATTTGTTTTACTTTATTATTAAACTTTTCTTTCAATGTAAGTTTGTTTAAGTTGCTTCATTTTATGTGATAATACTTTCTCTTTAATTCTATAAACAGACATAATTTCTTGTTCAGTTACAAAGTTCCGCTGTTCAAGTCTCGTAATTGCTGTGCCGAGAATACCGACTAACTTTTCAATCGAAATTTTTTCGTTTTCAGTAACCTCTCTGTCACCTTCTTCATGTCTTTATCCATTTTTTGCAGCAATTCCACTTTTTATTTGATGAACATCGAAACATACTTTCGTTTTGTAAATACTTTGGAAGCTACAGCATCGGAAATTCTATTTGACATAATCGAAAGTTCAAGTTTACTTTTATAAAACTGCTCTTACAGTCTGCAAAAAATAATAAGCCGGATCCAATTCGAAGATTAAAGAACAACGCAATCATCAATATTAACTGAAATAGACAATTAGATAATTTTAGCTTATACCGTCCGTTATACATAAAACGAGCACGCGAAAATGTATTCTGCGCTTTACAACTGTGCATATGCGCAGTCGTAAAGGTCTTATACGCACGCGTAAACGCCTATGCTCATGTGTCAACGCGGCGCATGCGCAGAAAGTTTTTAGCTTTGAGGTCCGAATTAACGACTTTTGACTGTAATACAATTATAAGACTAATAATGTGAATATTTACAATTCTAACATAACAGTGGTTGTATAATCACATGATATTGCAGGTGGTGATGTACTAAAAAGGAATATCCATGGCTATGAACAAAGCTTAAAATGTATTTTTGTTATTTTATGGAGAAAAAATAATGACTTAGCATAAAACGTTTTAAAAATTCAATGGATTTCTAATGATAATTCAATTTATGCATAAGAAAAACCATGAATGCTTCCTACAGTAATCAGTATTCCAGGGAAATAATACCAGCTAAAGTATTCATTTCTTTTATTCAGGAAGCCAGTGACAATATTATTTTATAGAAGTAAAATTAAACAATTCTTGCAAAGTTCTGTTATATTTTTCCTGCTTGAAGTTAGAGCTCTAACATTTTCTCATTCACCTGAAGGTAAAGATTGACCATAATCATTTTTAAAATTAATTTAAATACTTTGATATTCAAAAAGTATCATTGACATGTTATTTAGTTTTTTTTTTTTTTCCATTATTTAATTTGACGACATAATCAGTTACAAAATCCTTTGTTTATTCAAAATTAGGAGACATGATGTAAATTTAATTTGTTTTGGGTGAATTGTGCTGCCCAACCAGGATAGTGGTTAGCGATGTTGATTGCTGTACCAAAGGGCTCAGGCTTAAATGCCGGAGATGGTAGAAATGTTTGTAAATATATGGTCACTGTGTGGCACGGTGTCTAAATATGCAGTGAGCCTAATGTCCTCTCAAGAGGCTGTGCTAAGGGAAAAGGGGTGGGAGACTCCCAGACCCATCCCCCCAGGATACTCTCCATCAAAATTGGGGGTGGAACTGAGGAAAGTCATACTGTCACCTGCATGATTCTCACGATTATGCCAATGACACGCATAATCTTGCACTCCTTGCCACAATGAATTTCATGGTCTTGTTCTGATGTTATTGTAAGAAAGTGTGATAAGTCACAAAAACAACATATATTAACTGGTCAAGGCAAAGTATCCTATGGGAAAGGATGCCGACATGGAGACATTTTTAAGGGAAATGGATTCTAATTTATAACACACACAGGAAAACCACAAAAAATTTCATGCAGTCAGCTTGTTCAATAACATTTGAATCCAGGTCGAATTACCAGTTCTCAGCGTCTTTACTGTTCAGTGCCTCTGCTGGGCATAGCATTTGGATTAATGTTAGTGTTGATTCCATACAAATGAAAATAAATAAATATAATTTTTCCAATAATTAAATATGATAAAAAACTGTAAAATTCAGTAGATTAGAGCTTGTATAATTAAATATACACAAGAAAAATTATAAGTTAAAATATTATTAATTAAAAATTAAAAAATAGAGAGAATAGCTTAAATGATGACACATCATGTCACCAGCTAGGAAAACATCTTATATACTACTGAAATAATATTTTTCAAAGTTTTAGATGATATAAAAATTCCAAAACCTTTTTTGTTGATTTTTTAGGTTCATGTTCCTCACATCTTTTAAGTTGCTCTAGCTCCAAATTCACGTTTCTTATTTCATCTCTTAATAATTCAATGGTAGAATATAAAATATCCTTACAAACAGACACTACCTGAGCAGCCTGCAAGTAATTAAACAAATTATCATTTTAAAACATAATAAGAGAGTGAAACTTCTCAGATGAAACAAATAACTTCGCTCTTATTCAGTAAAAAAGAATCTGTATGTAAGTACGAATATACACTGCACAAAAAAAAGGAATACAGTTCTATATCTCCCATTCAAATGGGCCGGCTGATGAAATTCAACTTGCGTTTTTCATGTCTCGAAAGTGCGACTTAGGATATGTATTAGATTTATATATAGCATCAAACAAAATTGGCCTTTTTCTGAAATGACATGCCAATTTTTTTCCATATTTCGGTTCTACGACTCAAATTATGCCAAACTGTCAAGTTTTGTAAAAAATCAAGCGAGTAGTTTTTAAAAAAGTTAGCTCTCGAAAGTTTAGCTCCTTTGTTAATTGAATTTGATACATATTTATAAATACCTCTTTTTTATTAAACTTACTTGATATCTTCTTGCAGGATTCAAAATTTAGGCTTAATCCAAATATAATTTGCACATATTTTATGATTTATTTAAAAAAAAAATTTGTATTTTTATATATTTTTTATGAATTTTTCGAAAACATTTTTGCATTATAACCTACAAAATTTTTAACATCATCTTGAATGTTAGATGTATTTCTAGGTACACCTGCAAAAAATTAGAGTTTCTTTATTCAAAATTTCTTAAGACATGCATGAATTTACATTTTGGCATGTTTTGAGATCTGGTGCATTTAATATTAACGATAATAGTGAAAATGTGGTTTAAGCACTTTGTCAAAATCATTTGAATGAATAAACAATGGACATGTTTTCCTCACGTGCACCAATTAAAAAAAAAAAAGGAAAGTAAGCAGGTTACAATGAATTAAGAATTCCACCAGGTGAATAATACTTGGCACAAACTGTAAATTTTGCACCAAATTTGACATTATTTAATATTTAGGCATAATTTGAAGTCCTAGAATTGAAATATGGAAAAAAAAGGCTTCGTCAATCGGCCCTGTAGAATGGGAAATATAATTTTTTTTTGGGGGGGGTGCGCAGTGTACATTCCTCTTGGGAAAACAGGTGCACCTATAGCCACCAGATATTGAACACACATAGACCTGAACAAATGCATTTCTGAGGCTAGAATTTTGTTTTTGTATTTTATATTTATTTTCAGTTTTATACAAATTTAATAAAATTCGGATTAACAAACTCAGTTATTTAAAAGTAATATGTTACGAAGCACAAAGTAATTATGTTTCAGATTTAGTCAGAGTTTCAGATTTAGTTTAAGATTTAATCAGATTCAAATGAGCTGTGATTTTCAATGAAATGAGCAATCAAATGAGCAAAATTCAAATCAAATGAGCAAAATTCAAATCAAATGAATCAATCAAATGAGCTGTGATTCAAATGAGCTGTGATTTCAGATTTATGTTTCAGATTTAGTCAGATTCAAATGAGCTGTGATTTAAAACAAATGTGTTATCACTTGACAAAGTGTAAGGTATTTGTCTTTCAAGTTTAATCAATAAATTCAGTGATCTATCTATAAGGAATGTGTAATCACCACCTAAAATAAATAAAACACTTTTATCTTCCAAATGTCAATGTGTGGCCATTTGGCACGTATAAGATATTTGATTTTTCTTTAAAATGTAATCTGTTTATTATTGATTATAAAATAAGCTAAGTGATTTAAAAGCAATAAATGCAGTTCTACATTTCTATTATTATTATTATTATAGGTATGAAATTACACCAGCTAGAACCATTGCTAATCTTATTTTGAATTATAATGACAAACTCATTATATACTATGAGTCTGTCATTATAATTCAAATGAGCTGATATGAGCTGATATCAGAAATGAACATAATTCAAATAAGCAGTCAAATGTGGTACTTAGAAACTGAACAAAAAATTTCAAAATTTAGTACTTTAAAAAACTGTAAAGTATTTTTAATATTTATTTCAGACTACACTTTAAATGAATAAAAAAAACTTGCAGCACTCTTTTTTTAAGAAATAAAACATGCAGCATTATATAAGAATTCACAAAGAAACATTCTTTCAATAAAATTCAGGGATAAAATAAAAGCACACAGGGGGAAACAATATCTAATTAGAATATACATGCTTTGGTATATACGCATAGTATATACATGTAAATTTACATTGGTTTTCATGTGAGAATTTATGAAAAATATGTTTGATTATCAGTTAAACTAAAAATTTTCTGAAAAAACACTGATATATACATGCAATCCATTTTTTATGCATCAGATTTCTTATTCTCTAATCTAGCTTGACATGTATTCAAGCAAACCTTCATCTGTTCATCAAATATGTATAATATCTAGTGCTGAATACAGTACTGCATTTGATATTGAATAATAAATTTTGCATTTAATGCTTGACGTAACTGATGTTTGGTAATGTGCAACAATTATTGCCCTTCACAAGTACAGTTTAATCCAAAATTTTCCATCTATTACTATGCACTACAATTTTTTTCACATATAAAACAAAATATAATTGTATCTGGTTGTAACGAAAGTTTTCCACCAAAAAATGCTCTTAATCATGACTGAAAAAACAAAATCAAAGCAAGTGATTGAACATGTATGTCAACATAATGTGACGCACAGCACGACTAATGGACATGGCACTAATGTTTAACTCCTTAGAAAGCTCTTGAGTGGTTGCATACTGATCTTCTTTCATAGGTTCTCATAGGCGGGCCTCATCAACATCAGTAGGCCTTACTCTGCTTCCAAAATGTCATAGTCCCTATTTTTGAACTTTCGGTACCAAACCTTCACAGTGTCAACATGACACAATATTTTACCTAAAGATGTGCACATGATTTGGTGACATTCTGTAGCTGACTTTTCGAAACAGAACTGGAAGTAAATGATGGTTCTAATCTGTTAGTACGATAGTTCCGTTTCAAACCCCTTGTACTTATTGATAAAGATAATTTTTTACATATTTAAAAAAATGCGGTCTTTGAAAGCAAATCCCTTTCTTTCAAAATACAAAAATCATTTGACAAAATATGATTAAATACAAACTGTTTGTACAGATGATATCTGGGGTGGCAGGAAATTTCCATTAAAATCCAATATTTCAAAATTTTAACATTTAGCTTTCATATGAAGTACAAATAAATAATAGCTTGGGTAAAAATAAAGTTAAATGCAAAGTTAAAAAAATTAAAAGCATTAATTTTATATTATTTAAAAAAAAAAAAAAAAAAAAAAAAAACCTCAGTCTGCCAACACAGCTTCCATTTTTTCCTGTTCTGCAATATCAAATAAATCCAGAAGACTCATCTCATCTTCCTTTAAGCTTTTTTCTTTCCCATCAAATATCTTAGATCATCTTCAATTACTTCACATTCTGCTTCTCTTTCTCTAGATGCATTTTGTAAGATACTCTCACCTCTGGATATAGTTAGAGGAATCTGTATGCAAATTTACGTCCTCTTAAAATTTGGAAACCCAATATATATATATATATATATATTGGATTGCCAGATAAAAAAAATAAAGCTAATAACTAATTAAATATAATAAAAAATAAAAATAAATAATTAAAAATTAGTAAATGTACATAAAATGCTAACATTTTATTTTATAAAATATTAAAAGTAATAAAGGAAATATAGAAAAGAAATAAATTACATGCATGTAAATGACACAAAATTTCTTTCGTCTCCTATATTTTTAAACAATTTCGTAAGATCCTAAAACCAGCAGTAGAAATTGATGGATATTGAATTTTAATATTATGCTATTATAGGAATGTTTTTCAGAAACAATTGCTTTATATTATTTAGGTACTTTAAATATAACAGGGGGGGGGAAGCTTTTAGCATATACATGAAAACTTCTTAATTAAACATTTGGTAACATTTCATAAATAATTATAGAAATCAAAAGGAATTTAAATGAACTTAATCATAATGGGTAACTTTACTTTCAGCAAACAATAATTTGGTTAAAACTCAGTTTTAGCTGATAATTTACCAAACGAATATAAAAAATTAAATTATAACTGACAAGCACACGTATAAAAGAACTATAAATACAGAAATTTTCTAAAATAAGACTATAAATTTTTAATGCAATCATGACAGATGGATAATCAGTAGTCTAAGATAACACATGTAAAAAAAAAGACCTCTACTCTAATATAACATTTGTCAGAAGCCCTTAGAGTATTAATCGTAAAATTAGCAGATACATGCAGGCACATGTACAAATAAAAAAATTCTCATATGCAAAACTTTAAATCTTTATACCAAATAATAATCTCTTTCTACCAAAATAAAGAAATAAATTTTGCAATAATCAATCTATCATTCTCACTCAATGAGCAATTTATATCCTGAGAACTGGCAAATTATGATGTGGTAATAAGCTCACACTTATTAGCATCTGCAAATTGAAATATTCATAAAATAAATTTACACAATAACAACTAAAGAATTCAATATTCAGTGAATAAATTGACTTTTGCATGGCATGATTAACATGTTGACTGCTGTGGGGGTCAAAGGGAGCTAGCACTCGACTTGGCAACAAGTGACCAGTGACACGACCAATAGTAAAAATATATAATTTGAGTAAATATCAATTCTCAAAAGTTTTAAATAATACCATTGCTACTATAATGGTTTGAAGAATAATAAATCACAAAAATGGTCTCCAGCATAAATCACAAAAATGATCTCCAGCACCTCGGAGTGACCGGTGACCACCTACCATTAAAAATGCAATAAACATGATTATATAACTCATCTTATCATCTGTAGATATTCTGCAGATTATTTCATTCAACATAATATTAATTATGCTATTTCAACATTAGTTATCTTGAAACATTATCTACAGAAGACAACATTGCATAATAAAAAAGTCATGTTCATGATATGGGCAAATCATGTAAAATCCGCATGGCAGTCAATGTGTTAACTATCTTTCAGTAGTACATGAATGCAACTTTAATAGTGGTTTAAAACAAATAAAAAATGACCAATAGAAAAAAAAAAAAAAAAAAAAAGTGACATAAATGGTGCACAGCATGTGAGGTTTTTTTTTATAAATATTTTTTATTAATAATTTTTTAATCAACTTGTAAGGGGAATTATGCAAATAAGACAACCTCCCTTTTTAAAAGTGAAAACCTAACAAAAAAGCCTGAAGATCTAGAATCTGCTAAGAGCTTTAAAAATTGAATAATTATAATTACTATTAACACACACAAATATAGTCTATATGTCCAATCTACCAAAACAAAAAAAGAGAGCAATAAAAATACATTTCATTATGGGTATTTAGGTTTGCTCCTGAATGCTCTTACAAAATTCTATTTAACTTGAACAAAATAAGATTTAAAATTAAAATTTTTGTTTCTTAATAAAATTTGAAGTTATGAGAAATGATTTTGTTTTGTTTACAGTCGTTTCCATTTCTAATATATTCATATGTGTTTTTATAGCTTTTTGCATACTGTATCATTAGTTCTGGGGCATTCATTCCATAAATCTAGCATGTAAAGATACAATTAATGAAAGCAAAATCATTTAAAGATAAGATCAGCAGAGAAATGTACCTGAAGATATAATTAAGTATATCTGTGAGATATAAGAAACACAACCTAAAGAGAGCTATCTATCCTTCTCATTATATTATTTTAAAGAAATGTGTTTTATGATTATTTGCATTACTGCAAAATTTGCATATATGTATTTTTGAAAAAATATGTTTTTTGTTTGTTTTCTGCAAATGTTTTTTTACATTAGCAATTTTTCTATTTTTGTGCCAATTCATTATTTTTTTCTAAATTGAAAATGGTATTGGAATTTGGTTAGTTTATGTTTTGATACCAATAAATATATCACCACTAAATTTATGCAGTTTACAATATAAAATTTCAATTTTGTTTTTTGATCTTAACTTTTTCTTTTATATAAGTTATTTAAATTTATTATCTATATGTGCGTGTGTAATAATTTAGATATTCAAGAAGGAAATGCCTGCAATCATGACCGATTGAGTACTTTTATTTCCGGATAGAACAATTTTTGACATAGAAATACGCAGCTTAATGGATGCAATTAGCACACCAATTCTTGAATTATTACATTAATACTTCTTACAGATTTTGTATTGGAAAAAAGCATTCAGTACTTTAAATGTATGAAGTGCAGCAGCAGACAGTAATCAGATTGGCTGAATGGAAGCAAGAGAAGGAATGCAATGTGTATAAGAAGAAAGCACGATTCAAAATCATTTATCTTTGGTTAAATTTTATTTTGACTGGTTAATTTTAAATTTAGATTTGTAAACTTGAAATTATTAATAGCTAAAATGTTAAGCAAATAATTGCAACTTTAGCATTATGAGAGAAAGGATAATTTTGAAATGACACAATTCAGAGAGATTTACTATAAGCAGTTACTATTTTATTTGGGCAAAAAGACAAAATAACCAAATTACACATTTTTTTTATCTTATATACATACATACATTATAAATTTATGCTCACTTCTTTTGTATTCTGCACCATTTCAAATCTGTATATAACAGTATGACAATGTTTCAGTTTTTGTCTATTTTTTTCAGTATATAACTTAGAGTAATGTTTAAAAATATAATGAAAATGCAAGTTTAGTACTTTAAATGTATGAAGAAAAGAGGAAAAAAAAAAAAAAAAAAAAAAAAAAAAAAAAAAAAGAGGACAACTTCAGATCTTAATTTACTTCGTTACTTTTATATTACTGAAAAGATCAATGCATAAAGATTGTTAACTTCTACAATTACTCATTAACATATAAAAAATTCATCTAAATTCAAAACTAACTTTTCATTAACTGATAAAAAAGATTACATCAAAAGAACTTAAAAATTTTCATAAGCACTTCATTTCTGAATTTCTCAATTTCTTCATATGAAATGTTACCACAATTTTAATTTTAAGGAAAGGAACTTTCTAAAATAAATTTTGAATAATTTTTTTATACTTTCAAATTTAAGGAAACATGACAGTTTTAGAAGTTTTAAAATCATGAGCTGAAACATTTCAGTACCTAAAAAACGTTTAAGAAAACAGAGGTGAGAAACTTTAAACTTATGTGCCTACACATATTTCAGGGAAATTGCACTATAAGTTAGTTATTTAAAGATCACAATTAGATAAAGAATTAGCATAAACTTCTCAGATTTGTGTCTAATAAATTGATTTTTGCACAGCAGTGATAATTAGAAACAACATACGACGTCTTTTTCATATTTTCTTATTTTTTTCCTAATTTCTTTAAGCTTTTCAAGTTCACATTCAAATTCATTTAACACATTTTTCCTGTTTTTCGATGCTTGAATAAAATGATCCTTACAGTTAGCAATAGCATCTGAAACCTTAAAAAGAATTCTTAACATAAATGCACTAATCATATATAATAAATTAATATACATAATTATATTTTACATATAATGCATAAAATAAACAAACATGTGTTAAACACACACATATATATACACACAGACTGTGTAGCTGAAATAATTCTCACCTCCCAATTTCAATTATGTATTTGACATTAATACCATTCTATAAATACAGATTTAGCATAAATTCCACAACTGAATTAAAAAATAGTGTTCATTAGAACAAAAAAGCCCTAGCACCCATTATATTCCAATTGAGTTCAACACAATTAAAAGTACATACTATGTAATGTAACAGAATGGGTTTAAAAATTATGTTTTTAATTTTTAACCTATTATTATGTTTCTTTTTGTATGTATATATATATATAAACACATGCATTCACATACACACTTAAACACTATGCCATTTAATTTACGAAAAATTAATACTACAAATGTTTTACAAGCCAAAAGTAAACTTTCTTTCTATAATCCTGTCATAAATTAGATCTTAAAAAATCAAATTCTTAAAGTTCAAGAAAATTCTGCAATAAAAGTTAAATAAATCAAATCCTGCAATAAAAGGAAAACAAAGAAGAGTTATGAAGTTATATATACAGTACAAAGTACGAGATCCGGATTCATCGGGACTTTCACGATTCCGGGTTTGGGATTTTTCTGGATATTAGATCATCAGTTTAAATATAGTAAGATGTCATACAGAAATTATAAAATCGAGATTTCTGAAATAATGAACCATTTATGATCTAGGATATCAAAATTAACAAAAAAAAAAAAAAAAAAAGAGCTCAATATTTATTTGTTTACTTTATTGAAGATTTCTTTCAATTGTTTAAGTTGCTTCAACTTTTATGCTAATACTTTCTCTTTAATTCTGTAGACAGACATAATTTTTTGTTCACATTGTTGAAGTCCTGCAATTGCTGTGTCGAGAATTTCAACTAACTTGTCAATCGAAATTTTCTCCATTTCAGTAACATCTCTGTCACTTTCTTCACTATCGGTAGTGAAATTTTACGGATCTAGAACTATACTGCAGATTTTGCCATCCATTAATTCATTATGATTGAGGAACATTGTCATCACAATGAAAAACTTCTTTTATATCATTTTCATTTATTACCACTCCCCATTTTCTCCATATTTCTTTACAAAATCCATTAATTGGAAAATTTCACCTTTGGTTTGTGATATCCAAAAACCCTTAAAACTTGCGGCTGTCGTCATAAAATTTAGCTATCGTTTACTATACAAATTCGGCTATGTATCATGAGATTGGCAACTAATGACAAGTTGTTCTGCTAAATTTTATTTTGCTTCTATCCCGCACTGAGACAATTAATCCTGAATTGTATTGGTTTAGTTATTTATTATACATATGTCTATTTCTTGCATATGCTTAAAGCTTATCCGAGTACTGAATAAATATGTTCTCACATATACTTAAGACTTGTTGAGGGCTAGTACCTATATCTTACCACCTGATGCAGTCTCGGTGGATGTCTTAAATTCTGCTACCAAGCGCCTCTCTCTGTATTCCTCGAATTCTATCACCCAGTGTGGCCATACGAGCCCTGACACTGGTTATGGGTTTATGTGAATAACAAATTAGTTATTCTTAATTCAAATAGCACTAAATGTAATCTTTTGGCGTATTATTAACAAAATATATTTTTAGGCTATGGAAAGAAATTTGTGTTAAATTTTTCCGACTAACTTGTTAGATGCGCAAAGAAGTGTTGATTTCTTAGTGCATTTAACTTAAATCTTATCGTAATCATCACTTAGCATAATGTTAACATAAAAGGTTACCATACTCGGTATTATTCATTTCTTTTTAAATTTCCAATGGCAGATTATGAACAGTTACAGCAAAAAACAAGAATATAGAATACAGCAACACAATGGATGAAAAAAAAGCTGTGACAGAGCCCATTAATCAAACATATCTCTTGCCTCCCAGTAATGCTCGGCGAGAAAAGTCTTGCACAGAGCAGCACAGTGGGGTAAATGTGCGGCATCCATCACCTCTCCAGAGCTGCACAAAGTGCATATTGGAGAAGGAACAATTTTGAATCTATGAAGATGATATTGTAGGCAGCCATGTCCGGTGGCAAGGTGGAATTCAGCGACCACTGTACGCTTTGGGCCATTACACAAATTCGAGATAGCATTCTTCCAAGACTTATGAGAAACATGATGATAGAGATCTTCCTGAGCACGTACTTTGAAAGATCTTTTAATAAGATCCCTAACAGTATGGAAAGGCAAAAGACAAGAAATATTCTGCATGATTAAAGCACCTTTTTTTGCCAAGAAGTCGGGTTTCTCATTACCTGGAATCCCACAGTGGGCAGAAACTCACTGGAGGACTATAGTTTTCTCAAGTGAAGCCAGGTTTGTAGATAATGTCAAAAATCCAATATATCCTGTGATATGGGATTTTTATCTGAAACGGTAGCCAACAGAGCAGCTTGAAAATCACTGAGTATAACAGCTCTTGTGAATTTTTGCATAAGTGAGTAATGCTTAAGTAAGAAAGTCAGGCAGTATGATTTATTTAAGTTCACCTCCATATTATTAGTATCACACCAAATTTCCAAAGCATTCAAAGCAGCAGAGAGTTTTGTCGTAGTCTCTATGCTTCTCACTGCACTTTCTTTTTCAGAAACTTCCCAGAAAACCAAATCATCAGCGTATAAGAGGTACTTGAAGCCAGAAATCTCTCGTATTTTATAAATCAAATCATTAATATAGATGTTAAAAAGGAAGCAGCTACTAACAGCTCCCTGTGGGAGACCTGTTTTTAAGATCTTAGATTTCGATAGAGCGTGTCTATACCTGACTCTGAAGAGCGCTGGCACAGGAAGCCTCTAATCCAATTAAAAAGATTTGCTCTAATGCCTATCCCCGACAGTTTCAGAAGGAGGCACTCCCACCATACTTTGTCGTAGGCAGACTTGAGGTCAATAAAAACTGCAGTCAGAACTTGTATTATTCAATTACTAACATAAAAATTGTTTAAGCATTGCTGCATGAGTCATTACTCAAGCTGTCACGTGTAGATAAACATGTGGTGATGAAAGCAAAAATATAATAAATAATGATTCACCAGGTTGGCATCAGGGATATAAAATATTAGTAAGTGTAAAATCAATAATGTATCTATGTAGAATGTTTTGGTTTGAGACGTATGCCAAGCATATATGCAGTAATGGAGCCAAATTACTGATCATACAAATTTATGCTAAAATGATAATTTCTTCAATGACGAGGCATTTTATTAAGTGCCAAAGTGAAATTAAGAATCGAGACTCTTCACATGCTTTATTATGTGTGGAAGGGGAGAGAATCAAATGCACATGCATACAAAAAATGAAATTAAAAAAAAGTTTAGTGGTGGCTTTGAGGTCTGGATTTTAATTGGACCTTCGAATCTTGGACTTTGCACTGTATAAACTTAAAAGTCATGTTCTTCTAATACAATGGCTGTAACATATTTGAACATACCATTTGCTAAGATAATTCTATACTAATCTACAAAGATGCTTCTTTCATGCATAAAGATGAAAAATAAATTGTTGTGAATGCTAAAGCAAATGAAACTACTAATTAGTTCCATAAGTTAGCACAGAAAATCTAATCATGCTCTTTGAAAGAGGGAAAACTCATCATGAAGACTCCTTTTATGATAATTAATTTTGATAGCAACAACATTATCCCCATCAACAAATTAAACTGACTTCTCTAGTTGCTTTATCATCTTTATTGAAAACTGTCTGGATAACGCCTGGAGATAAATCTCCCCAGAATGCAGATTGTGCAAGCATCCTAATATTAGGCACTTGGTAAACCCTGATTAATAAAATTTATCTTTGGGAGTTATTATATTTAACACAACCTGAATATTTGTTCAAAATAAAGCACAAGCTCAGAAAAATTTAATGCAGAGATTTACTTAGCTATGCTTGTATACAAATAAGGTATACAGTCAAAAGTCGTTAATCCGGACTCGTCGGGACTTCGGCGATTCTGGATTATCGATTTTTCCGGATTATAGATCATCAGTTTAAATCTCGTAAGATGGCATGTAGAAATTCTAAAATTAAAAATATGAAACTGTAATTTATGAAATAAAGAACAATTATGATCTAAAGGGTATCAAAATTTACAAAAAAAAAAAAAAGCTTAATATTTATTTATTTACTTTATTAAACATTTCTTTCAATGTACGTTGTTTAAGTTGCTTCGTTTTATGTGATAATACTTTCTCTTTAATTCTATAAACAGACATAATTTCTTGTTCAGTTACAAAGTTCCGCTGTTCAAGTCCCGTTAATTGCTGTGCCGAAAATACCGACTAACTTGTCAATCGAAATTTTTTCGTTTTCACTAACCTCTCTGTCACATTCTTCATGTTTTTATCCATTTTTTCCAGCAATTCCACTTTTTGTTTGATGGACATCGAAACATACTTTCGTTTTGTACGATCCTTTGGGAGCTCCAGAATCGGAAATTCTATTTGACATAATCGAAAGTTCAAGTTTACTTTTATAGTATTGCTCTTACAGTCCGCAAAAAATAATAAGCCGGATCCAATTCAAAAATTAAGGAACAATGCAATCATCAACATTAACTGAAATAGATAATTAGATAATTTTAGCTTATACCGTCTGTTATACATAAAATGCGCACGCGAAAACATATTCTGCACTTGAACACACGCAAATGTGCAGTCGTAAAAAGTCTTACGCGCATGCGTAAAGGCCTATGCGCATGTGTCAACGTGGCGCATGTGCAGAAAGTTTTTAGTTTTGAGGTCCGGATAATAGATCATTCCGGATTATGGGTGTCCGAATTAACGACTTTTGACTGTATTCAATTTACACATAGATACATATTGCATCTTAGGTCTGCATAGTCACAAGGCAGACTTTCTAACCTATATGACAGGTCACATTTTATTACTTATTTAACGTACACAAATGAAAAACTGACAAAGGCTTTCTGTTATCATGATTATTATAATTTTAGTCATTTAATTAAGAATGAAAAGACTGTCATTTCATGGTTTCAAAAATTCTCTTTCTCTCTATACACACATATACAATACAAAATATCAGATCTGGATTTATCAGGAGTTCAGCAATTCCAGATTTTAGATCATTTTAGAAGTTTAAATCTAGTAAGATTAAAGATAGTAATTACAAAATTAAAAATATGAAACAGTTCTTTATGAAATAATGAAGCATTTATGATACTAAGTGAATGAAAATTTATGAAAAAAAAAGTTGAATATTTGTTTTATTTAATATTTCCGAATTAACTGTTTAAGTTTTTGTTTTTATGCCAATACTTCTTTAATTTGTTAGGTAAATATAGTGTTTCCCCCCCCCCAGTTACAAAGTTCTATTGTTCAAGTGTTGTAATTCCTATGCTGAGAATTTCCATAAACTGTCAATCGAAATATCTTAACTCTAAACAGCCTCTTGATTACTTTCTTCACTACTGGTACCAATATTTTTTGGATATAAAACAATATTACAGATTTCACCATCTGTTAGTTAACTGATAATTGGGACAATGCCACCACAATGCAAATCTTTTGTTATCTTTAATTATCATCTCTTCTCCATATTTTTTCACAAATTTCATTAATTAGAAAATTTTGTCTTCTGTTTGTGACATCTGAAAATCTTCAGATTTATGAAAATCACCATGAAGTATGGTAGCTGGCCATGAATTATGTAAATCTTTTTTAAAAATATCTGCAGACACATCCTCCTATGAATTTGAAAGGCCTGAATTTATATTTGACTTTAATGAAATATTTTATGTTAATATATTTCAAAAATTCTTAAATGACCTTCCCATTATTAAGAAAGTTTGGTGTAGACTTAAAAAGACTACTTTATATCTGCATTTTAGCAAGTGCAGTACTCTAATATCCAGTGCTTGAATAACGAATATTCAAATCTGAAGGAAAGAATAAGATGGAAACATTATTTTTTATTAAAACTTTAAGTGAAAAGTGGGTCAAATGGTTGTTTATTATTAGAAAAATTTTTATACCATCCACTAAGCCAACGGATTTAAAATGTTACCCGGTCTCAAGGATGAAATGATTTTTATACCAACCATTGATAAATGTCAACTCTTTTATTGAATGACAGATGATGGGGAATATTCTCACATTATTTGGCGATTATTGTTTAGGTCAGACAGAAAAATGCTAAATCATTACAGTCACAGGGCCAAAAGTGTGATTGAAGCCAACATCAATCAATGCATTGTTATTGACCACAGTACAATTTTCTGCTGAGCAAATGTTTAAAAGTGACATGGAAGAATCTATCAAGAGGCAGAAAAACTGCATTTATGATACAAATACTTTATATACAGCATTACATTCTCCATTTTCAGACTTTCTTGAGGAGGGGAAAGGGTTTTTTTTTTTTTTTTCGGGGTGGTAAACTGGAGCTCTGAATATTAGATGGTTCCAGTTATTGAACATCCAGATTTCAAACTTTGTATTGTTTGTACATGTATCAAGGGGTGTGTGTGTATACACCGAACGGCCATTACATTATGATAACCCTGTTAACAACATGCGAGACCACCTTTAGCCCTCAAAACTGCTAGCACCCAGCATGACATTGAGTTCACGAGGTGCTGATAGGCAGCCTAAGGTATCTAGTACCAAATGCTCACCAACTGGTCACACAATTCTTGCACATTGCGAGGGGGTAGGATGGCAGCACGAATTTGGTTTTCTAGGTGGGGCCATAAATGCTCTATTGGATTAATATCAGGTGAATTTGCAGGCCAACACATAACTTGAAAGGCACTGGAATGTTCCTCGAACCATTCCTTGACAATTCAAGCCTTAAGACATCCTGTTGGAAAACACCATCCCCTCAGTCGGAAATACTGTTGTCATGAATGGGTGAACCTGGTCTGTAATGATGTTCATGTAGCATACAGACATCAGGATTGTTCTATGGGGATTGATTATGGGTCCTAATGTGCTCCATGAAAACAATACCCACAGCATAATACCCAATACCCACCACCGGCTTGTCTCCATTCAAATGTGCATCCAAGGAGTCAGGGTTTCAATAGGAAATCGGCATATTAGCACACACCTGTCGATATGTGATGGACAAGAAAACATGATTCGTCGGACTATGCAACTTTCTTCCATTCTTCTAATACCCAATTCTGATATTTCTTGGCCCATGTCCCATTGCAGACACAGCTGGTGATGGCATACCACCAGTGTAGAGACATACTTCATCCCCCAGGTATGTAGGCCCATGCACAGCAATGTACGCTGCACAGTGTGTTGAGATACACTGCCCGGGTTGCCACTGTTATAGCTGGTGGTGATTTCGGCTGTTGTAGCCCTTCAGTCATGGAGAACAATGCGTAACAATCTCTGCTCTTCTCTGGAATCAATGCGCCATCAATAACACACTGTTGGGCGGCCATTTGTCATTACACCATCCATCCACCATTTTCGATATATGATCACAGCAACTGCATGTGAACAGCCTATTAAATGTGCCATTTCTGATAGTCATGTTCCCAGTCGCTGAGCCATCACGATTTGACTTTTATTGAAGTCTGATAAATCAGCTGCTTTTCTCATTATGTCGCTAATCGCACTATGTTTGGAAAGACAATGCACAGCCATGCACATGCAGTGATTTTGTTCCTAGGCAACCCCACTGATATAGACAGAGGGTGGTCATAATGTAATGGCTCTTCGGTGTATATGTATGTACACATATAACATTAATCTAAGGTAAATCATGTACTTCAGATTTTTATCTAAACAGAACAATAAAATAAGTTTGGTCAACAATACAAACAGTTCTTGAGATCAAAAGGAAATATTTTGATGCCTTCCAGTCTTTTATACACAGTTAATTTTGACAGTGGAGTAATAAAAATTAACTAGTTGAAGTTCCAGCAATAATACAAAATCATTAATTTCTCCACAGAAAGTACATGTAGAAACTGTATTGCACCAGATGGCGCTGTGTGCGCTTGAATTCCTTGGAGTGGTGCAGAACCTTTTGATGACTGAGAGAGATGTAACACGAATGCGAAGCACTAACTAAAGTTTATACGTGCTTCTCTTTGTTGTAAATGTATTTAATTGTGTCGTCAATAAAATTTCGAGAAAATGACAAAAGGCGAGAATGTGTCCGACAGGTAAGCAAAATTTCTTTATAATTTAATATTGACTTTTCGCAACAAAGAATGTATATACGTATTTATAGTACATTACTTGAAAGTAAAATAACATGAATCATCAGAAATCAAACGCAACTTTGATTTCTGAATATATAGGTAGCATTTTGTATTGTTTAATTGCTCAAAAATCTATTCAAAACTCAAGAGTTTCACTCAAACATTCTTAAATATATAATACTGAAATGAAATAAATCACAATATTTTTAATTAACACTTTCACACCAGGAACATATATACAAATGTTTCGATTGACCCAATTAGTACTATCGCAACACAAATTAATTAATTAAGGCAAAGAACTTGATAGCTATTTACCTAAGGAAAGCAATGTCTTTATGGAGGAATTTCTAGAGGAAATTTATTCATAATTACATATATCTTTAGAACATAATAAATTCACATTCGCTTTCATATTTTATGTATAATTTGAAACAGAAGCATTTTAATCACAATTTCTTAGAGAACTGTTAATAACTTCAGCATAAGAAAGCATATCTTTTCTTTATGTATTTTACACATAACAAAAAAGTACAAGAAAAACATCTTACAGTTTTATTCTAAAACATAGATACTAAGCTTTAATCCTACAAGCAGTCAAGAGTTTAGCCCCAAAACCTTAAAGTTCTTAAGAAGGCCATCTTGATTATAACTCTGAAATGACTCCACTTTGCACTTTAATTCCTTTTGTTCCAATATAAATATTACCTTAACTGTCTACACATATTTCAAAATACCTTAAAGATATCACGACAAATATTTTTGAATTAATATATATATGGCTTTGCTGCTTAATAGTAAAATTGAAATTTGATAACTACTGTTGTCAATCATTTAAAAAAAATGTAACTAAAAGTTATCCATCAAAAGAAATGATGATCTGACTTAGTTGAATTAAGGATTGGATTTAGTCAAAACTGATTGAGAGCCATAGTTTAGAGGTCATCTATAATATTTGAAACTTTTACTAAGATAATTCTCTCACCTTAATCTTTAACCTTCCAATAAGTTCACATTGAGTGTTAAATATTTCTTTCTTCCGTGTCTGAATTGCTTCTGCAGCAAGTTTTTCAGCAATCAGTACCATAACCTTGATCTGAATTAAGAAAATATTAAAAAGTATACTATTGTGAATTTCTTAATTTTAAAAATGAAAGTAACCTGAAGTTAAATAATTAAGACATTTTATTTTTAAGTTTAATGCAGAAAAATCAATAAACCATATTAATTTCCAAATTTTTAAAATTATTAAGTGCCATCTCATGTTATGCCTATTTATTTCAGAAATGGCAAATGAAGTTTGCATTTTATAAATAAGAGTCTTTAATTAGACATTGCATAAAAATATACCAGATTATTCAAAAGTAACAGCAAAAGTAAAGATTCAATAATTCATAAAAAGAGCAACCTGATTTATTTTCATGAAATGCACACAAACACACCATATTTATGTATTTATTTAATAATGAGAGATTTTATTGCCAGAATAGTTATAATTTCCACCAACAGGAGAGGCTTCAACTGCAAGTTTGAAAATTCACACAGTGCAATCCGTAATGCAGCTAAGCTTTAAAATGTTGACGATAATGACCATCATTCCAGAGATTTTGCCACCCTAGGGTAATCTGTTTCCTACCCCTCTCAATATACACCCAAAATCAAATCTATAAAATATCCAAAATGATACAAAAAGAAATAAATATAAGTTTTAGGTTTACTTTTTAAATAAAATTTCAGCATTTTAAAGTGTTATTCCACTAATGGTTTTCTGTTAGCAAAGTCATTGATGGCATTCCAGAATGCCATCAATTTCAATTATATTTCAACATCAATTCCATTGTTTCATTTTCTCTTCTACAGACAGTTCAGTTCTTTCTATGAATTTCTGTGTAAACTATACTGTGTTAATGGCTATACTTTTTTAATTACTGAATTTTTGCTTTCCTTTAATTTTACATCAGCCATTATTTAATAATATAATTTTCTACCTTTTTTTCCATGGGTATGTGTATGTGAAATACATGTGTGTATTTACGGAAATCAGCAAAATAAGATAGCCAACCAAAGACACACATAGCACATTAAAACTGCTGTGCATTTAAAAAAAAAATTCCTGTTTATGATTTTTTTTATTTACTGACAAATTCCACAATATTGAATATTGAATTTAATTGTTGAATATAACCTGATATCTATAACACATGATTGCATAACCTCCACATATTTGATTTTTAAGAAGTGAGAAAAATACTGACTTAATACACGTACTAGCATTTTTGTAGAGGAAAACATATCACATGTGGTTCTATAAATGCAAATGAAAGGATGAATGGATTATGATTTTGTGGATTGTGTAAAAATATGTGATAAAGAGAAATATTCAGGCATCAGTTGGAAAAACTGTAAAAGGAGCACCCATTAAAGAATGAAACTGAAGATGATTTTACTGTGGGAATGTTTTTAATCATGATAACAAAAAAAGATGATGAAATTATACATTTATCAGAAAATGAGTGATGAGAAAACAAGAACTTCTGTGAGATTATACGTGTTTAATTATCAAAGATGATGGCAAAATGCATGTGTCTCTAACTTGCATTACCCGCCACCTGTTGAATAATATATGGTAAACAAAACGTATATAAGTGTGTTTTTGTGATGATATACATACATATATTTTTATGTGTGGATAAGTATTTAAACCTGTTTAGGTAACATCTTTAAAAATATTTGTTAAAAACTGCTACTCAATGCATAAGTTTCTTGGCCATTTTGAAGAAAATAATTTAAAGCTGTTCAAGTAGGGATTTTTTTTTTAATTTCTATTATTGCTCTAATATGCCTTTATGTTCTCTGCAGTGTTATTTTTGCTTTTAGATTGTCATCTAGTTTTACTCAACAGTATTTATTGCTTTTTCGAGAGGAATATAATTTTAAAGATTGAATTTTTACAAAATTCTCTTCTGTGTGATCTTAAATTTAACACAATTTTAAACACATTATTTAGTTACATAGTTTATGAACTTAGTATGTTTCAAATTTTTAAATGAGTATTGAATGCAGAAAGATGCTAGCCTTTGCGGAGGTCTGTCAATAATATTTAATTAAATTCATGACACTCAGCCATTCCCTGAACTGGAAGAAAGAGATTCAATAGCTTCAACTGAATGTTGCACCACTTAAAAATCACATTACTTACAGTTTTTCATACGAAACAAAAGATTAAAAAACTAAGAATTAAGATACATTTCTCCACATTACTGTTCCTGACCCTGATGTCAAACTTGTTGCATGTGTTGCTGCAGCCAGCTCTTCATGGCTAAACTTATTCTGATAACAAACAATGTTGTAAGTGAGTAAATGATTTCCTTTTCTGCATAAGAAGTGCCTTCAATGTATCAGTGAATGAAATGGGTGTACGTTTAGTTGGATTCCTTGGCACAATTCTGAAAATCCTTTCAGAATTCACTTTTTACTGTGTTGCTATGTGAGGTACTGGAAGCTTGTTCACTGCCTGTTAAAACAGGAGCTTCAAGCTTCTACTGCTGATTTGAGCCATAACCATAGGAACAACAGCAGCAGAAAAAATGCTTGAGCTGCTTAATTTTTCCTCCACTTGATTTCTATTTAGCGTGTTTCAGTTTTGCACTAAACCAAAATTACACGGTAGAATGCTGAATTATTCGGGCAATTGAAACTAATTGCAAAGCATTATCATCAGCTGTTTCTTCAAGAAAAACGATTAATTCAAAATCTTAGTTTTGTAGTGTACAAGAACATTTATAAGTTAATACATAAAATGATACATTGGGTTTGGCGGCATTATATACAAAAGCCATTAATGAATGTTATGAATTAGAGTGCTGCTATAGAGTTTTACTATTTGAATACATGATAGCTGAATTAATAAATAACATAACAGAATTACAAATTTACATATTTTTTGCTTTTGCTAAATATGTTTCTATACATTTAAATATGCATTTAATTAATACTAAGAAGACTGACATTATTAGACATTCAAATATAACTTTAAACAATAATTCAGTTTTCGAACAAGCTAAAATTAAAAATGAATTCTCCTTACAGAATTCTTAGTAGTTAAGTATAAATCACAGGCTGTCTGATCTAAATTTCCTTTTAATTGCATGTGAAGAACTCTTACAAAGTGCATGAATGAAAGTGGATTTGAACTACATCTTCAAATGAGATAAAGAAAACAAAATTGTGTGCAGTGACGATGGCATGAGTTACCATCACAAAGGGGAGGATTGGCAACAGATTTGAAGTGACTATTTTAAAGTAACAGAATATAATAAAATAGTCAGCACTATTTTCCTGAGTTTTCCAGATCTCTACAGGCCCTTTTTCATCTTGCAAGCTTGAAATGTTGTGCCATGCTACATTGATTTATAAAGCAGTAAAAACTTCCTCATTAAAATCAGTGAACTAGTGTGCTGCAAATTCAATTTCTAACTGGCCAACATCAAAATTTCTTATGCTAACTCAGTAATAAATGTTCTGCATTTATAACATAAATGTCTTTTTTTAATAAAAAAATCAGAATATTCCCTTCATGAGAAATAAAAAATGAAAATATTCACTGTCTATGGTCACAAAAATGACTAAGAGCAACTGAAAAGTCACAACTACACAGAACACAACATATGATTTTCTGAAAATTTTTAAGCTAGTAAACATGATCAATCTTTGTTTAAAGTTTGTATGCTTCTTTGAAAGTGACATGGTATGTATATTTATCACAACATTTTTTAACAAAAACACACGAGAACTATATGCACATGTTTATAGCTTCAAAAAGCAATACATTAAAGGCTGATTCAGTTCACATAACATTGGCGCATGACACTCTGTTCAACGTTTTAATATGATATATCAATGGTGATGTGAGCGCAAACATTTTAGTTGATATGACATATTGATCATAACATTAGCACAATCACAGGCTTTGATATTTCAATATTGCTCTTTATCATTAACAACAGCACAATCACAACACTTTCAGTTTTGCTCTAAAATTGTATAACCAGGGTCCGTACACATTTTGCACACAGAAATTAAGTACTTTTAAGGAACATTAATGAAAAAATTAAGGACTACGAGCGAATGGAAAGTGAATAAATTCAATTAAAAATATTATCTATGCCTGAACTTCACGTTTGTAATACCATCCTAACAATAAAACAGATCCATAAGTAGGATGCATTATTATTAAACATAATCTAATTAACATAATTATTAATAAGTTTGTAAGTAAAATAAACTTTAAGAAATTTATCAAGTAGCATTAAATATTTTATTATCTTAAAAGAAGATAAGTAACATTTTATTTACATTTTACTAAAAGTTAGCTTTATGTTGATTTTTTTTTTTAATGTCGCATTTTGTCACATATTTGCTCAGTATAGAGGTTTAGTAAATAGTAAGTAGATGTTATGTCAAGCGGCATAGGTTGAGAAGTAAAATCATAAACAGCAAGATTCATAACAAAAGACTGGCTGTTGTCACCACTCCCGCATACCTAGAGAGACCTGCTGATCAGAACAAGCCTGAAAGGCCTGATGTAGGCACGGTTGGCAAGTTTTGAAAGTTAGCTGGGCTCTGTCTGATACAATTAATGTCGTAGCTTCATGTAGAGTTCCAGGGGTTGTAACTCAGTTAATATACTTTAAAGTTCTATTAGACCACTAAAGCACCAGAGATGAAAAAGGTAAGCAAGTAAAGAAAGTTAAAAGTAATTAAATTAAGTATTAGATAACCTTAGTCATTGTAGATTTACATGGCCACTATTAAATTTTATTTATTTAAAAAAAAATATTTGTTAAAAAAGCTCTATTAAAATCACAGTTTAAAATATATGTAATTTATGACACTGATTCTTAAACGATATTAGGATAATTACACATTAAAAGCTACAAAACATTTAACTTTTGTAGCAACAACACTGAACAAAATATTCATGCATCTTTTTAATTTGAAGCCATCCCAGACATTTTGGCTAATTTATATTGATTTTCTTCTCTTTAAGCATCTTTTCTAACAATTAGAAATTTATCACAATACGGAAAACAATGTTCTCACTAGTTTCTGTGTGTTTTATCTCCCAACCTACAATCTCTCCACAATGTATCTATGAAGGTTTACTTGATCTGGTAAAAGTTAAATAGTGCAACCCCCCTAACAGATGTCAAGCAAATTAATGCTATGTCTGAAAGCAATTATAAAGTCAGACAAAGTTTTAAATAAGCTTCTTATTTAAACAGAACTTAGAGCAGAAAGGCATGTTCTGATGCTAACAAAATCAATCAGCTCGTGATGATGTAATTAAACAAGAAAAGTCAAATTTAGACTAAAAATACGGACTAGTGGTCAAAGACTATGCAATGTAATTTCATTTTAAGCTGACTCAGTAACTATCATCATCGGCAGCCGAAATGAAAAGACAAATAATTACAAATTATCAGAGCTGGCAGGAACTAATGCAGCAAGCAAGCCAAAGCCAGAAACACACTCTGCTTACAATCCCAAAGCCTTAGTTTAGAAACTATATAACTGAATTTGTATTCTGGTGAGAAAATAAAAATGGAAAATTATAGTAAAGGCTGAAATTGTAAACTGGGTAATTTACATAATAATAACTGTACATATATTTGAAGAATAATTTTCTTTCTCTTTATGTGTTCAGTTTCTTTCTTCCATGTTTCCTTTTCATTTTAGAATTTAGGATTTAATTAAAGATTTCTGTCATTCTAAAAAAAACTAAATGCATTTAGAATGTATAGAAAAAGCTGCTAATTTCATTTCTTTAGTAATATGAACATTCATAAGAAATATGAAATATATATGGTAAGATTCAGTTACAGAGATGGTATGGCATAATTTTTAGAATTTAGTGACACACCGAGCAATAAAATCTAGAAATGGCAAAATTTTAGAATTCAAAATAGGCATTGGAAGTAGAATTTAGAAAGACACCAGGCAGCAGAATTTAGGATCCACAGATTGCATCAAATGAGAAAATGCCTAGTGCCAGCACTGTGTATGATGCATTAAGACATATCGGATGAATCTTTTAAATTGTCAGTTTTCAATTTCTTTATTAGTAAAAAATTCCTTTCTACAATGCCTGTACATATGATAAGATTAGAAGAATTTTTGATATTTTCCATGCTTGTGTCTGGTGAAAAGTAGAGAAAATAAAGGTAAGATAAAAATCTTAAGAAAAAGATTAGTATCAAGTAAAACATTCAAATATTATATTTTCATTGTTTTTCCAGACATTCTCCAAAAAGTAAGAAATTGCATGTTAATACCATGGATACATGTTTCATTTGTCACATTTTTCTGGAATCTTCTAGAATCGTCGGTCTACAAATCTTACCTTTGAATCTTTTTAAACTTTCCAAGCTACAATGTCTAAAATCCTAAAGAAAAATTACCCATACCAATTCTATAACAGCTTAAAGCCAGAAATATTTTGAAAAAAAAAAAAAAAAAAAAAAATCAGAGGAAAAGTGTAAAATTAATTTTATAGAGAAAACTGATGCATATTCTTAGAATTCTGAATATTTTGCAACAATTACATGGCAAAAACTCTTACCATGAAAAAATTAAAAACACATTTTTTTTTAATTACATAGCTATTTTGCTTTTGCTACGAACTGCATCATAAATTGTGCTTTAAAGCATTAAACCTTGCTTATTTTTCTGATTCAAAATGTTGTATAATAAGTGACTGAAATAAAACTTCATAATATGACAGCGAAAAATAAAAAATGTTTTATTTTAATGTATTTTTTAAATATAATTCTAACATATTACCATTATTTTAATGAAGTTTATCAATATTATGATGTTTTAACAAAACCGCCGAAAAATTCTCAGATCTCGGAATTAAAAATTTTCTATAGAAACCGATCTTAAAATTGCCAAAATGTGGACAAGTTGTCAAATTTAGAACCATTTAATAAAAGAATTCAATCCCCAAAAGTGAAAAAAGTTGTTTAAGAGCTCTTTATTAGAAAAATGAATTTCGAAATGCTTATGTTTCACTTCTTGCTCAGAAACCTGAGTATCTATCATTATATTAGAATAGAAAAATTTACTCATGAACCCATTCAAAGATAGCCCTATACACGTCAGTGAACGCCAAAAATTCCTCAAAAATCTAATTCACACTCAAAATGGCAGTTGTAAAAAACAAACAGAAATTCAGATGATAAAATTAAGGACCTTCGCCAATTTTAGCCAAAATTAAGGACTTTTTATTAAAATTAAGGACTAATAATATTTTACTGACACAGAAAAATACTCTTTAATAGCAAATTTATGTTTTTAATTATTTAAATAATATAAATGTCAGAAGAAATTTTCAATAAGAATAAATAAAAATGATAAAACATAATATACAAAATTCAATTTACTAGATAATGGTCAGAGGATATGAATGCATTTACAAATGTCGTATTTTAGGCTAAGTTAAGGAACATACTTCATTTTTTACATCTTCATAATCAATTTTAATGCTTGAAAAGGACTCCAATTCTTGATTTATAAGAGTAATCTCTTTTTCTCTCAAATCAGCTTGAGAACGAAATTGTCTGCTGCAAGCTGCTACAAACTGTGACTCCTAAAATATCATGAGTTTTATTAAAGAGAATAGAAAAGGAATTAAAAGGATATAATTACATATAAAATAAACCTAATATTTCAGCAGAAAACAAAAAATATATGAATGGAACCTCAATTTCTGTTCTCATTTTCTTTTTTGTTAAAGCTTCCAAACCAGATTTCAAAGCATCAGTTTGTTTTTTTGTATCTTCCATGAAAGCTTTTACAACAGACTTGATTATTTCAAGAAGCTAAAAATAAAAATTGAACAATTTTTCCTTAATTACAAAAAAATTAAAAACTCTAAATGAGTAGAAATAAACTAATTAAAAACGGAAGAGAAAAACATCTTTAAAAATAATCCCTTCCCCAGGGAAAAAATTCCTGATATTTTTCTAACAATTATTTATTCATTCAAAGGCCATCCTCTCGCATCTTATGGAATCTTTTTGTGGTTCTAGCATTTTGACATGATCAAATATATTTGTTATTATTTATAAAATTCAGTAAAAAAATTAATTTTTTAAACTAATCTTTAACATTAAAGAAGTTTATAATATTTAATTTTTAAATAATAAAACATAAAGTGTAATATTACTATAAATGAATATTAACAAACCTCAGATTCTGCTTTATGATCTGCATTTTCAAAACTCTCAATTTTTGTTTTTATTAAATTAATTTCTTGATTAGCTTTTTCAGCACATGTTAAGAGAAACTGCTTGCACATATCAGAAATACGAGATTCCTAAATGGTGAAAATATGAAAATTTCATATCAAAAATATTACTTTTAATAAACTTGTTAAAATAATGTCATTTAACAACTTACCTGAAATCGAACAAGTTTCAACAATTCAAACTCAATAGAAACTTTTTCATTTTCTCGGTTTTTTATTGCTAATTGTAATATTTTTTTACATGAAGCAGCTGCAAGTTGCACCTGTAATTTTAATACCAGAATAAATATCAAGCAAATAAGCATGAGTTTAATTAAACAAGAGGGCAATTAAATATTTCAACAAACCTGGGATTTCTGGTGCAGTACTTTTTCAGTCTTCGACTAAAAAAAAAAAAAAAAAAAAAAAAAAAAAAAAAAAAAAACATTTAAAAATGATAAGCGAAATAATAAAATACATATCCAAAAGAAGAATAATTTCCTGAAATAATATTTTGTTAATTTATGAAAAACACCATATTTACCCTCGTATCCCCCTTTTTTTACTAATTATATTGTATGACAATTGAGAGAGGAAAATCATGTGAATAACTTAATTTCTGAAGGACATTGTTACAATAAGAATATTTAATGCTGCTCGAAGTGCTACAACTTTTACATGTTGTTGCCATCATTATCATAGTGACTGTTCAGTCTACTTTCCCATGTTGAATGCCCTTTAGATGATCTTGAGAATTAGGAGTCCTTGTTTCCTTGAAGCTCTTCACTACTATTGCTTCATCAATCAGACCTCGTGCATATTAAATTCACAAGCAAATCGATAAAAAAAAAATAACCATAATGTAGATGAATCCATTTTAAAATTAAGGAAAGCTCACTTTCTGAACACTTCCAGAAGAAGGACCAAATTACATGAATACATAAAAAATTTTCAGAAATGTGTGCTAAAAAAGCTAAGGGGGGAAATTTGTGAAGCAGAAAAATATATGATCAAATGTGGTTATTATTTATTTATTAAAAAAGTCCTGAACTAGAATTTTCAAACTGCATATTAATATTTAATTTTAAAATAGAAGTTAATTTTTTTACTAATTAGTAATATTGACTCTCTCATAAATAAAATTTTTGAAATAAATCTTCTCTATCACACCTGTCATTTTAGTTCAAAAGATATCTTAGAAGTAATTAAATTGACATTGCAAATTAACAGAAATTTGCAATGAAGTTTCCTTTTGAAAAGGCAACATGAAATACTGCATTTGCTGGCATATAAGAGACATCCCCTTTCTTATACACATTTCTGAAAGATAAAACTTTATTACTGTTCATTATAACGAATTTACAGTATTTTAAATGTAAAGTAATACTTTATGCAAATACCCAATCTATCTGGGAAAAATCACCTTTTAATCCTCTTCGTCAAAATCCAGACACTCATTTCCAGAGCTAAATGAAGACTCATTTTGAAACCTCTTCTAAATTAACATCTGAGGTCTCATACAACAAACTGTCCTCTGTACCATCCAGTGCCCCACTTCTTAAATGATTTAACCACTGTCTTTGTTTTCACAGCAACCCATGAAGCTCTGACCCATTCACAAGGAAACTCCGAATAAACTGAGTATTAACATATAAGTTGCACCTCATTTTTCAGACCTATTTTCAAAGAAAAGATTCACTTTTTTCTTTGAAAATAGGTCTGAAAAATGAGGTGCAACTTATATGCCAGCAAATACGGTAATTATGGCAGAGCATATAAACCATGCATTAAAATATTCATGGATAAAATAATCCTGTGGTTATTAAAATGTTTGTTGAAAGATAATTTTCATGTAAAATAATTAACTGTTGTTGATAATAAGAATGTTTATTTACCATTTCGTTATTACATTGTTTTCTTCAAGATTCTCTTCTCCTCTAGTGGAAATCGTTTTTATTATAAATAGATGGCATTAGCACCATGCACTAAACGTGATATGGTCTTTTCACTTCCTCAGATTGCCCCTCTTTTCTTATACTTACTTTGATTTAGACCCCAGCTGAATAGGAACAATTAAGTTTCTTTTAAATGATCCAGCTTTTTTATTGTTAGCATGTTTTTGATTCTATTTGATTAATTAAACTGAACTGCAAATGAATGTAAATATTAAGCAAACATTATATCTTCTTTTCTAAACCATTTGATGTCAGTCATTTCACCATACCTCCACAACAAATACATGCATGTAAGTATAGTAAATTATCTCTATATTATTTGCAAAGTTCAGAAGTTTGAAAAATAAGAATTTCAAAATCTCTATAAATTACCTAAATAATTTATCATAATTTTTTAGTCTTTTAAAATAAAAAATTATTAATTTTATATTTAAAAAAACATGATAGAAAAAAGACTAAAAATATTACAATAGAAAAATATATTGAACTTAACAACAGTTTATCACTACTGTTCCCATTTTTAACAATTAACATTCACAATACTCTGTTACATTCTCAGTATTATCTGTATATTAAACAGTAAAGATCTGTACGTTATTCCTTGCAATGTGGAAAAAA